TAAATAAATATTGATCAATACATTATAAAGTGGTAGGCCTAATGTATTCATGGATTGCATTAAAAGTTAGTCTATGTATAAATACAACTTGTAAATTTCTTTTATTGTAGGCTATTAGTGTAGAACCCGGGTCATCCTCTTATTTTTGTTTAATTAATATTAATTTTACGTCTTTCAGTAGGCGTACTTTTTAAAAGTCTGGAGTTTTTTTCCAGGCTGGTTCTTTCTTATAAAAAAAAAAAAAAACTACTGTCTATTGTGTAGCTCAGTACTGGGGAACGGTGAACCGAGCAATGGCTTGGTATAGTTTATATCGATTGTGAAAGCAATATAAAGGAAACCCAACACTCAAATCAGGAAAATCCGTCAATTAGTTTATTAAAAATCGTGAATTAAAATAACCCTGTCACGTTTTATTATATGAATATTATATCTTCTCCTATTTTTTACTAGTGGTGCTTAGGTGTACAATCTAAAAACTGTTTTAAAACATGTAACATTATTGCTAATAAATTCAACACATTTTAGAATTAGGCAACTATTTACTAGTAGGCCTACAATGCTTTGGTTCAAACTATTAGGCCTAGATAAAAACTTAGTCTATGTCATCATATTTGTACACGTAAGTTGGACGGTTCAACGACGAACATTTAATTTAAAATCTATGAATTAGTTATGAAAGTTACGATGGTTGATGACTGTATTAATTAATGGTTTTGGTTTATTAGGACATTACAATTAAATCTGTTTTCCGTGTTTAAGAACTTGCGTGTATTTTAGCTTAATTTCGTAGAGGTTTAATTATTTATTACCAATTAAACTAAATTTTGAATATTTTTCATATTCTATTATTTTCTTTTATACTGATGGCATTTATATTTAAGATCGAAATCATAAACATTTAACTGGCCATTGTACAGTTTAATAAAAAACACTTTTTCATTGTTTTTTAATTGTCTTTTAATTACTTTGGGCTAGTTATCTGTTAAAAGTGGAATTGATAACAAAAAACAATAACATTTACTGTATCTTTATAGACACTGACATTTTGAAATACGGCAGTGTACGATTATTTTGTCGTACAAGGTTGGCAACGCTCCGAGCAGTGGGCGCGGCCGGGTTAGCGACTTCCAGAGTTAGCGAATTCCGCCGCGAGACAAAATCGAGTTAGCGGGTTCCGGAGTTAGCCAATTCCTGACTGAGACGGTTAGCCAGTTCCAGAGTTAGCCAGTTCCGCCACACGACCGAGTTAGCGAGTTCCTGAGTTAGCCAATTCCTACGTCTCGTACCGGGTATGTAGTCAGGGGGCTTCGGCTCTCATGACAAATATTGAAAAAAAAAAGAAAAAAAAAAAAGTGGATAGAGTACTCGGCTGATGTACAAGAGGTATCTAGCCTAGATTGAATTTCATCGGCGACCTTAACATTTTTGTTAAAGATAGAATGCCATTTCTTCTTGACTGTACATCTTTTTTTAGAATTTGAGGCATTTATAATTTTAACAGAATTTAACCCTCATTTGATTTTTTTCACTATCAGTTTTAAGAGAGACTGTACCTACCTTTTCTAGTTCAATGCTTTTAAATGGATATTCTCTACAAGTTCAAGTACATATAGCACGAAACTACTAAACCTATCATACTGATTTTTTGCTCACTTAATTATCACATCCATATCTTTATGTTAAACCACTTTTTAAAGAAATATATCAATATACAAATTATTTTCAATCATTTGAAAAATACAAATTTTTATGCGATATTCAAAAAAAAAAAAAAATATTTTTTAAATGAAAATTTATTACTAATCAATATATGATTACCTAATTGGTTTAATGTACTCACCAAGTAGGCCTACCCAGACTAATGCATGCAAAATTTTAAGTCTCTATGTATTACAGATTTTGAACTATGGAAAAACACACTTAAAGCTTTGCAGCACACACTCAAAGCCATAAGAATAGTGTGGCCGAAACCTCGGTAGAGTTAGCTTTGTTTATTTATTGTTATCATAAGGAGCTTTCTAATATTCTAAGTACGGTATTAACTTAGGCCTACCTATATATTTTCTTAATCAGGAAGAAACGGAGATTAATTTTAGACAAAAAACAAATATTTAATTTTTTAAGACATAAAAGGTTCAGTCTCCCTTTAAGTTAGGTAAGTAGCCTGGATACTATTTAGATGGGGTTTTTTAGTCATAGGCTACTTCAATCATCATCATTGTCAACAAGAAACCTTCCACCGCATCACCTGTTTTCTTTCACATAAGTACCTACGTTGATTAAGTAGGTACTTCTCTTCATTAAAATAACTTAAGTGGGTGCTTTTAGTTACTTACTAAAACACATTAATGAAACCCAGTACCGCATTTCCCATTAGGCCCACTAGGCCCAGGCCTAGGGCGCCAAATTTTAGGGGGCGCAAAACTTTAACCTCTTAAATGAATCCCACGTACGCCCCCACGCGTCAGACCGGTAGCCCTGCTACCAGCCCAGAGCCCACTGACACACGGGCGCGTCCGAGTGTAGTTTGAATTTGCCGTGCTTAGTAAGCAAATCAAAGAAGAAGAAAGATTGCATTGATTGATACCGCCGTGTTGGGAATAACCATGGAGATAAATAGATTATAACTGGAGTCACTACTCTCTGGTTGAACATTAGAGAAAAACGTTCCACTGATCGGTTGGGGGATGCTGTCAAATTCAATTCACTCTAACCTATCCATGCTATTTATTTGTGGTTATCCTTTATTTGATGGACTTCAACTTATTTAAGTTATTGAACGTTAAAACCTGTGTATTTAAAGTTATTTTGTAACATTATGAATTGTTTTTTATGCTAAATACTAAATTATTTTCAAGCTATGATTAATGGTGAAAATAGTCAAGTTTCCTGGTAATTATTTTTACTAGCCTACACCTAGTGTAATTATTTTTGTCAATGCCCTACACGCCCACCTACTTAACTTATATTGAACCATCGCTGTTGTATTTATGATCTTGTTAAAATGGGTTGCCCGTAAAGTAAATAAATAAACTTATATTGCAATCATAATGTTGACATATTTTTGTTTACTATCAACAAAACAACAGGATGCCTCTAATTTGACAAGTCCCACCAACCGATCAAACGGCTAACCTAACAACACGAAACCTGAAAAAAACACAGAGTGGTGACTCCAGTTATTATTATAGCTCAGTGGGAATAACCTGCTCTTTTGCGTGTGATATTTCGTTTTGCGCTAGTCTCGACGACATCCCTGCAGCGACTGCCGAAATTCAGCTGTGTAATTCTCTCCTGTTAACTTACCTGTTGAGTCATTCTGTTTATGCTTTGTTAGTAAACATTGTTGAATCAAGCCGGTATTTAGCTTCGAGACGATGAAATAGGTGAATATTTAGATAACGACAATTTAAATGATGTTTCGGGACATGAATGTTGTCCATCATAAACGTATTTCGTGTTATTGTGTATAACACAATAACACAATATAGTACAATATGGTATTGTAAATGTTCCACATCTACATTTTACAAGATTGAGATTTTCTGATGGAAAGTATTTATAATTGTTCAGTTAGTCTCATTAGAGGTGTAGTATAGGGACAGGTCATATGCCAATTACTGTGAAGTTTAATACAATATTATACATTTTACAGGAGTTGATTTATTTAAAATATCAACGGATTATCCTTGTATATACAACTCAATGATAATGATCGTGACATTATTTACGTTTCGCGACCAATATTACGGCAGGGAGGCGCAACTGTTTTGTGTGCCTAGGGGCGCCGTTTGGCTAAATGCGGCCCTGATGAAACCTAGAATGCCTTGGTCTTCAAGACTTGCGGCGAAGAGTAAAGGCAAAAAAGCAATCTAAATTGTAGGAATTTTAAACATGTATTCAAATACGCAGAGGATACGCGTCCGGTAACGAGACGTGGATCAGGCGTCTGGCAGTTACTGTCATAACCTAACCTCAACCAAACTTGCTGATGATAAAAATCTAATGAAGGTTAAACTCTATCCATAAAATAAAATTATAAATGTAAAAAATTCGAACAAATGATGTAGGCCTACAGTTAAGAAGAAATGGCATTTAACTTAAAAGCAAAATCTGTAACAAAAAGTTAAAGTTACCAATGGGATTCGGACCAGGGACCTCTTGCTTATCAGCCGAGCACTCTATCCACTACGCAACGAACACCGATCGCTGTACATCGTATCGTTGTGGTAATGGCGCTCCGGGCCCCCACAACCCGGAGACATCACTGCTGGACGCCGAATCTACGCCCGGATACCAGAAGCGTATCATCTGTGATTCGAATTACATTAAGCTAGGCCCAACCACAGAAAACATATTACTATAACCCAGAATGCCAACCGCGTGGTAAAAAGCATTAAGTGTTTTGAGAGAGCTTTGCCTGTCAATCGTTGGCAGCGCCACCAGCGTTGCCATGCACTCAGCATAGCAACGCTGGTGGCGCTTCCTACGGCAAAGCTCTCTCAAAACATTTAATGCTTTTTACCATGCGGTTGGCATTCTGGGTTATAGTAGTGTTTTCTGTGGCCCAACCTATAAAAAACTTGATGGCATCGCACAGGTACGATAAGTTTCTGAAATGGATTAGGCCCTACCCTAAAATTGATCCTATATCGATTACAAATCAATGTTTTTAACTAACTTATGCCAATTATAAAAAGAAAATTTTAAAACCTAACCTATTTAGGCCTAACCAAACTTGCTGATGGGCCTAATGAAAAAATCAAATGAAGGTTTACTGAAGAGATTAGCCTATATTCAATAGACATTAGGATAGCCCGGTTGTACACCATTACACATGTTAGTTCTGTTTAAGATATTCAAAGGCGTAGGGACTAAGTTATAAGTTAGTGTTCAGGTGCAATGTAGGCCTAGGCCTAATGGCAACCCAAATAATTCCACAACTAGGAAAAAAAGACTCATAATCCTGATGCTAGCCTAGACAGTTTATGCCTTACCTTCTGAAATATCAATGAAATCTAGGTGTTTTTCAATCTCTAAAGGCATAATTGTGGGACGATAATTTCTGTAAATTTCAGCAACCTTATTTGGCTGGTCAACAAGGTAAGTAGGGTCCATTCCATTTGTCATGATTAAACTTAGTAAACGTCGATACTAATGATGAAACTAGGATTAGTGAACAAAGGGTTGTTCTTATAATTATAAACAAAATTATTTAAACAATTTAGCACTGTAAAACTCAATTTCTTTTAACTCTTTTTCAAAAGTTTGCCGGCTATCACTGCTGAGCTGCTATCAGCCTGAGCCTAGCTATCCACTAGCCAGCCAAGCCACTCAGCCTCAGCTCACTGCTCACTGCTCAGTGCTCAGTCACTCACTCACTACGACTAGGCTACACAGTACACACTAGTCAAGTCAAGTCACGGCTCACGAAGTCAGTCTCGTCTCGTCTGCTCGCACAATTTGTTTTTCAGGATTAATTTTGCCAACAGTGTCATTTAGAGGCTTCTGATTGACTACGAAGGTTTAGTAATTGAAAAATTATTTTTGTTCATAGAATAAAATTATAAATGCCTCAAATTCAATTTTATATTTTTTTATTATGAAATTAAACCGTCATAACCTAACCAAACCAACCACACGTGCTGACAATGAAAAAATCTAATGAAGGTTTATTAGTCGAAAAAATAGTTCCGTTCATAAAATATACGGAACTATTTTTCCGTATTTGAGGCAAATAAATGCCTCAAATCCTATTTTATAATTTTTTTTATTATAAAATTAAACTATCATAACCTAACCAGACTTGCTAACAATGAAAAATCAAATGAAGGTTAAACCGAAAAAAATATTTCTGTTCATAAAATAAAACTATAAATGGGTCAAATTCAATTTCATAATGTTTTAATTATAAAATTAAACCGTCATAACCTTACCAAACCAACCAAACTTGTTGATAATGAAAAAATCCGATACAAAAAATAGTGCTACGGGTGAGATTCGAACCCGGGTCCTTCGGATTATCAGGCCAGCACTCTATCCTCTACAACACCACCGAGGCCGTTGGCATCAACTGTATCGTCGCGGTAATGATGTTCCCTCAGCCAATCAGAAGCCTCAAAATAATACTGTAGGCAACACTAATCCTGAAATAAAAATTCAGCCGTCTGCACAGCTTCTGTTTTTTTTTTTGTTTTAATGAGTTCTCTACTTTCGTCGTTTCGTCTCAGTCATTCTGAATTCTGATTCTGGTTATTCTGAAATCTGAATCTGAACCAGAACTGAACTGAAAATTTGTTTCCGTTTCTCATTCATCGTTGTTCTGTTGTTCCCAGTGGTTCCCAATCCGTTTTCAGAATTTTTTCCATCTGCTCTGGTTTTGGTTTGAGTTTGAGGTTTGGCTTGAGTCTGAGTTTGAGTTGTTTGTTACTTGTTCTTGTTGTATTTGTTTCGTTGTTGGGGTTCACTTGTTCATGTGACAAACTCGTGTGCTTTGCCTTATAAATCGATCTACATACCGTCATAGCTATAGAAAGACAAACTTACCTACCTAGGCCTAGCCTACATCAGATAAAATAAGTTTTCTTGGTTAGCCCGGCCCTGACACCATAAAATCCACAAATAAATATATTCAAAGTAAGTTAGGTTACCCAAGTGGTTAGAAAAGTGTAGTGCAATTAGACCTAAGTGTACTTAACTTTGGCTAACTTACCGCCTAGGGACCTAACTTAAGTTATTTTTTAACTTTTTTTTATTATCAGTAACAGTTAACCTAAAATGACAGTATTGAAAAAAGTATTGGCCACAGGAATATCAGCTTGTGGCGGGGGTTTAGTCTTGTATTCTTTATATAATCAGAATTTAGAGAAATTTAAAGTGAACGCATCTTGGACAACTAACTACACCCCTCAAGTGCCCTGGGATTTCAATTGGGACAGGTAAGTTCTCAACATTCTGACTAAAAATTTCAAAACAGCCTAGATGCTAAGAGAGAGGCCACTCACCAAACATGCAAAGTTGAGACAAAAGACTTGTCGATTCTTGTCTCCGCGTTTCCTATTCATATTGTAAAAACGGGAAACAGATTTTATACCTGTCTGTATCTTGTCTCCAGAAAAACGAAACGCTAGGTGAATGGCTCTAGGGAGTAGCAATTTTAGGGAGGGATGGACTGTTTTACCCCCAAAGTAACTTTAAGTTAGGGTAAATACAAGAATTACGGAAAAATCCCTGAAAGCACAAACATGTCAAACAGCACTTAGGCCTATAATAATATTCACTTAAGTTACAGCCAACTGTTTGCTCACAAGATGACAACCTATAAGTAAAGTAAAGTATAAGTTAAGTTACATATAAAAGATGGTATGTGGTGATCGATTTCGATTGGACACTCCAATCATCATCAGACCCAATAAGCGAATCTGCCTATAGGCCTATTCGCCTAAATTATTGGGCCTGATGATTGGAGTGTCCAATCAAAATCGATCGTGCCACTTAGGCTACTGGTACCATCTTTTATATACCGGTATAACTTAACTTATATAGTCTACTGTCTTGTTAAAAACAGTATAAGTGTAAATTTATTCTTATAAGAGTTATTTATTTTTGTGCTTTCAGGCAGGTGGGCGAATATAGTCCAAAGGGGGGGGGGGGGCACAGGCATAAAATAAATTAGTGATAGAGGTCGGTCAAAGGCGAACAGAGGGGGGACACAGTCCTGCCAACTCCAACTCTCTAGCTCACAGTAGGCTAAACAAATAACCTCTAACCGAACCTAGAAGACAATGTGCGTGCCTGTAGGTAGGTTAGCCGAGTTGGCTGCAACTGCTCACGCTTCCGCCGTACATAAACAGTCTCATTTGACTCAATGTTGTTGGAAAACAGCTCACTCTCAAACAACTGCTGTGATTTTTAACTACTCAGCGGTCAAATAGAAACTGCAGCGGGAGGACAACCGCTACAGCTCCTGCTCTTCGTGCTTAAGACAGTCTCATTTATCTCAATGTTGTTGAAAACCGCTAGCCTACCGCTCCTGCTCTTAGTGCATAAATGGGGCCTTCGCTTGCAGTAGTGACCGCTAGAGACCACCAGCATATCTACTGGTGACAGGGGAGGGGAGTAATGGAGAGTTCAGTCAGTTCAGTGGTACTTAAATACTTTAAATACTTTTCTTCGAAATGGCGACCATACAAAGTAGCCTAGGTATTTTAAGCCAAGTATGTTCGAATGGAGATGAGTGTAGGATGAGTGGCGTGATCTTGTAGTCTTGTTAGTGACTAAGGCCGACATGTTCCTTAGACACAGCTGTTAATTAATAGCCCATACAGCTAATGGTGACTAAGGGAACTACAGTTTATAGTGGAATCCAAACCACATTTTTGCCTTTGGTATATGTATTGGTCTAATTATCAGGATAGTACTGTGGATAGTTGTAGTAGGCCCACTCACCCGTGCGGACGTTAATCCACACCAGGGAGTATCGCATCCACAGTGCATGCCTATTTAAATATCCACAATTCGTGACCTCCTAGTAGCTGGATCACAGGATGACGCCACCCATCCCAGCCGCCATAGGCCTAGTTATTGTTTGTTATTTACATCTGTTCGACGTTGTACTGAAATGTTAACGTTTTGCAGTTTGCACAAAATAATAACTTATACAGTACCGGAGGTTAGAACTCCTCCGAATATGATAAACACAATCACGTAATTGACTCCTTAGGTTCGGATAAGTGTTTACAGATGGAATGACACACTGTTTAATCTTGACTCAAAGTTGTTTGATTTAGTAGGCCTAATTGATATATTTTCTTCATTTGGCTTGAATAACTTATACATTTTTATAATTTAATGGAACAATTTAATGATACAGCGTGATCTTGGTAAAGTAAAGGTCACATTTAGTGTAAATTACTGCAGCAAAACTGAGATAAAGTCATGGCGTGTCTACTTGAAATTACTTGACCTAACCTTAAATTAATCTCGGCCCAAAAAAAAAAAAAAATTCTATATCTGCCACAGCTTTCAGGTACCGGTAGGCCTAATTTTTTAACACGTACAAAATACTAATAAAGAAGTTATTTAAAAATCCCTGCCAAAAATTCACCCTGCCCAGAGCCATACACCTACCCACAAAACTTGTCCGAAGGCATCATGATTATCTTGAGATGTAGCTAAGTGAGATACAAAAGGCAACATTACGGAGACAGTTGGCCGACAACGTTTCTGCAGACAAATGGACGAGGCTTTAGATATTTATGACAGACTCATTCTAAACCTAAATAGGTAGGTAATATTTGAATGAACAAGCAGAGTCAATTTTGTATTTATTATTCAAGATTAACTTATCTAATGTACCACAATGTAGGCCTACTTACCACTTAAGAATACTGGTAAACCCAAAGCCCTGAAAACTTAGTTAGGTACCTACTTATTTCTAAGCTTGACTCTCAGGTTGCAGTGTAGGCCTGTTTCACGTAGGCCTACATCATTATAGCCTAAGTTGTGTTCTTTGTGAGTTAGGCTCTCATAGAAAGCTGGGCAAAACTTATATATCAACTAGCCTAATATTAATTGAGGTGGGACACCACCAAAGTGCTCATATAACCCAAATATACCAAATCAAACCAAATGCTTTGCAACTAAATGTCACCCGGATATAAATCAATTAAATTTGTTCTATACGTGATAACCATTGATTAACTTAACATTAAACTGGTTCTGGGGAAAAGTACCGATACCGAGAGTCGTCTTAAATTTGATTGTGGATAGGCCTGATTGGGTAGGCCTACGTACCACCAAACAATTTGGACCACATGCCTATTGGCGGTACGGTCCAGCTATAAGTTAACAGCGCAACAGCGGTGAGTCAAAACTGAAAGATGTCATATTGGAAAAGCGATTGTTTTGATGAAAACAAAATCACCAAGATCTTCCGAGCTCACAACAACATCCGCGATAACACAGTAGGCCTAGTATAGTTGTGATTTTTTACTTGACACAACAACATTCGAAACGCCGGTAAAGAGTGGAAACCTTGATTGTAGTCTTTTGGCGCCACGATTAAAATATGTAAGTTTCCCAGTCAACACTGATTCGCGGTCTTTTTCCGGATATCAAAACTCAAGTACAACTTAATACGTACACAGAATCTCCGGTTCCCAACCTGGATGATGGCTAGTTATTTAGGCCTAATTTAATTTATGGTTACATATTATTGTACCAACTTGTGATCAATCAAACCCGTTAAATGTAAGCCACACGGTTATTAATCTCACTTGGTTTTGGATTTGCTTACAAACGTGAAATGGTTAAGTACATAGTATTCATAAACAACATTTAATTTAACAATTTTTTTTTTGTGTTGCCAGCCTAGTGGTTATTGTCTCGGACTTCTGTGCGGGAGGGACGGGTTCAATCCCCGGCACATCCACTAAACACTTATTCTCTCGTGACTCTCTCGTAAAATACCACTGGCGTAGAAAAACAAAAAAAAAACATATCAGTGAAAGCTAGGAAAAATAATCTTTATCCAAACAGCTGTTCGTAATTTCAAAGATGACGTATTCTTTTAAGATGATTAGTATTTCATAAATGACGTATGTAGTAGGCTAGGGAGAAGACTTGGCAAAAATCACACAAAATTGGGATTTTTATCGTCCGTTATTTTATTTTCAAAATAGTGAGGCCATATTTTAATGGCTAAAGACTTACTCGCCAATCCTGTGAATACAATTAAACTATTAGAATCATGATCGGTACTCTAGTTTTCTTGGAGGCCCTGTAAAACGCCTTCTGGGCTGTGACAGACAGACAGACAGAAAGCGAGATAAGACTTGTATCGGCTTCTTTTATGTATAAAACGTAAAAATAACCCAAAAATATATAATTCTGAGCAATGTAGTGACAAAATTTTATTTATATGGATGTAGGCTACGCAGGTGCGCCAAGATATAGTGGAGCGGGTCCCAGGCATTTCATTTTCACCATTCATTCATTTTTTTACAAAATCAGTACATTTTATCCTCATGATAGATAAATCAGGTTTAAAGTATATACGAAAGTACTGTAATTCAGCCTCTTGAATCACTACTGTCGCCGCTCCACTATGTGCATGTGCAGCACTGCTACCATCGAGGGTAAAAAACTCAGCTACGCTCTCCGCTACAATCTAGCCTCACTGCTTCACCCTTAGAATGGGGCACATTAAACCGTAGTTCTTGACTCATATCATTTGATTGCATTAGTACCTAATCAAGATTATCTTAAAGGCCTAATTTGTATTTCATTCACAGGAGAAATCCTGAAAGCCTTGTGAAGCCCTGTAAAGGAAAGGAAGATGAAGCCAGGTACAACGCAGAAATAGCAAATGCAACCCCAACTGCTAAGCGTCACATCATTTTGATCCGTCACGGCCAGTATAACTTGGACGGAAAAAGTGATGTTGAAAAATTCCTCACGCCAATAGGTATCTAAAATTTAAAATATCATAACTACTCTCATACAGTGTGTCATTTTATTTAAGATTTGATATCGTAAATAAAGGACTGTGACTGGTCAAACCACTCAGCAACCAAACCACTCTGCAACCAAACCACTCTGGTAAACAGATTTTTTTTTTATTTTTACCATGTAAAATGTATTTAAAATAGCTTATAGCATATTTAGCTTTTGTTTCAACAAAATCAAATCGTCCATCTTAGAGATAATTTAGTTCAAACTCGAGTGCACATATTTTTTTCCCGACAGTGTGCAGTCTCCTATTAGTAGTATCAATGAAAAAATGAATTATTTTTAGCTAGTGTTCTAGTCTCCTAAGTTTATTTGCCGATTTTATTTTAAAAATTGGTCAAGTTCATTTAGTTAAATCAGCATAGAGGCCTCTCTCTGATGTGACCCGCCGGGGGTCATATCGGTTTTAAATTATTATCGGTCCGTATTATAGCGCATAATACTCCGGTAATGCGTAATGCGGTCCGTTCACGCAGTCCCCGAGGACAGTTGATGCAACCCGCATGACTGATATACTTCTTCATACTTCTCATGAATTCTTTTGTTAGTAGAGAATTTCTATTGATCGGTCAAGTAGTATCAGTTTAGCTGTTGTAAACTACTTGTCAGAGAGCTCTTACTGGTTTAACAATTTTTTGTCATAAATACTTGTGGTAATTTTCGTATAAATATTATTATGATAGGTGGCGGGAGAGCTCGTCGCTTCGTCGCGAGACTTGGTTGTTGTCCCAGTAAAATTACCAGAAAAAAATGCCAGTTGGCCTGCTAATAATCAAAAAGCTGTCAGTTCGATTCTGAGAAAAGTCATTAGCAGCTTTTTGATGCTATGAAACCGGACCCAGCAATTCCTGATCATTGGGCTTCAAAAAATTATCCTTACTGATGAACTAGCTGGTCTTAGTAACTAAGCTAAACAGATCATCTCACACCATTCTACACTAATACTTCACTCATATTTGGGTTAAAATGTGCATATGGGTGGCATCCCATCTCAAATAATAGTTTTTTTTTACTATATCCAATACAATTTATACATCAAACTAAGATTTCATCTGATAATAATTCACAGGTTCTCCGCAGAACTGTACCTGCCTAAAAATATTTCACAATCCGAGTGCATGACCAATTATTTTGACCAAGAGAGTCTATTTATTGCCTATTGCTTTTGAGACTTTTTCTAAGGTAAGCTAGGTGCCACCCACTTCTATCTTTTAATCACAATCTTGACCTTCATACTTGGCTTAAAATACCAAATTTGTATGGTCTCAATTTCAATATAAAGTATAAAAGGATAGCCGTTAAAGAAAACCATGGGGATTTGACACTGTTTCTGGTGAGGTTGAAGATTATGGGAGTTTTCAGGTAAGGAGCAGGCGGCAATGACGGGTAAGCGGTTGAAGGAGCTCGGCCACAACTACACGCATCTGACTGTGTCCACTATGACCAGGGCTAAAGAGACGGCTTCCATCATACAGGGCTTCTTGCCGTCCAGTGTGAAAGTGACTCATTGCTCCATGCTGGAGGAGGGCGCACCCATACCTCCCGAACCACCAGTGGGCGACTGGCGCCCTGAACCTCATGTATGTGACTGAACTATAGCTGTGCAACTGTAACTGGTAATCAGTGTGTTGAAGTTTAGCTGCTTAACACCTAAGATAAATCTAAGGAAAGGAGTAGGTGTCTACAACATCCGTCTCAAGCTTTAAATTATCCACAGTTTTAGAAACTTAGACCTCCATCATAAGATAAAATTCGTTAAGGTATTTTTATATTTACATGAATGGCTTAGGCTTAGCTTTTAAAATTGTAAATATACAAAAAATAGACATTTGAAATTAAGGCAACGTGTAATTTAGACTGATACTTGATACCACATATTACAAATTCCAGTTTTGTGCCCACAAAATCTGACATTTCATTCATGACAGCAAAGTATTATGGAGAGTCAACCATGATAAGTAATATTTTACATTTAACTTTTACATTGTTAGTACATCAAAACCACAATTCACGTAATTTACTTTGTATGCTTACTAGTTTGTAGGTACAGTTTAGGCTTATTAAATAAACCTTTCAGATTAACATTAATGGCACATTCTATACCATATTCGGTACAATGGCTCAATCACAAAAAAAGTTTTGGTTGGTGTAGTTTTATTAAATGCCAGATATTTTCATGTACTGTTTGTGTACAGCAGTTTTTTCAAGACGGAGCTCGCATCGAAGCAGCTTTTAGGGAGCACATTCACAGAGCAAGTCCTAAACAGAAGGAAGACTCCTACGAAGTTATTGTGTGTCATGGAAACGTCATAAGATTTTTTCTCTGCAGGTTTGAAAACTGTGATTTCAATTTTATTTTATTTTACATTTAATTAAATTGTATTCTTTTTAAATGTTTTCTATCTACATAATCTAAATTTAAATAATTATAGTTTCTACACTTAGTTAGTAAATAATACCTAACATAGGGTGCTCAATGATGCTGAAATGTATTTTTAGTACAGTTACCTGACAAAGTGTGTTTTCTTGCACTGATTATAGCACGCAAAGTACCGTAGCTAATTGCTGCATTTACTTACTTTTGCCGCACTCCAGTTCCAGTATTTTAACCAAACGACACAAAACAGAGTGCTTTTTATTAGGCTACGTACGCTTGAAAATAAGTTGGCGAAACTATAAAGATACTACGAGTATGATCAGCTGGTGCAGCGTTTCCCATCTCAGTTAACCCTTGGATTTAACCTAAATTAAAAAAGTTTTGTATAACGTTTGAAAGACTAATTATTTATATGATTTGACTGTACAAAAAATATAGTGCAAAGTGCCTTTGCTGCACTTGAGAAACTTTCATGTGCAGCAAAGTGCCATTTTGCACACTAGTTACACAAATAACAAACTATTTGATGGTGATAACTAAAACAATAATATTTTGAAATTGTAGAGTTACAGTTTAACTGGTACTGGTATGATTCAGTTAATTAAAACTACCTTTAAAAAACGGGTTGCTAATTTCAAACTTGTAACTTGCTGAATGACTGAGTAAATGCCTTCTCAATACCTTCTTAATTAATATTACAAGTTTTCTGTGTATTCTATCCATGGCCTACCTGCACTTTTTCTAAGGTTAGCTATCCCTTCATTCTACAAATCAAAATCTTGGTCTAGAGACCAGGCTAACAACATCCATTGACAAAACTAAAAAAAAAACTTCAGATATGATTTACTTACTTACTTACTGCTGGGGCGCTACAAATCGCAGTTGATTCTTCACCTCTTAGATCAGCCTCTTCCATGCTTCTCTGTCCGCTGCCATCTCCACTGTCCCTCCACACTGACTCACATCTCTCTTAACTTGGTCATACCATCTCATTTTTGGTCTACCCAGTGGACGCTTTCCAGTTGGTACAGCAGAACATACTTCCTTCAGTCTTGTTCCTTCTTCCCTTCGCAATACATGACCTAGCCAACCCAATCTTTTTGCCTTTATCAAAGCTATTATATCAGGGTCCTGGTATAACGCTCGTAGCTCTCTGTTTTTTCTAATCCGCCATTTTCCTTCATCGTTTACTGGGCCGAATAATTTTCTTAGGACCTTGTTTTCAAAAACAATCAAGCGTCCTTCATTTTTCTTGGATAGGACCCAGGTCTCGCTTCCATACAATAACACTGGTTGAATAATGGTTTTTATATATTCTTATTTTTGTATCAGATGATAGGAGTTTTGATGACAGGAGCTTCATACATGCACCTAAACATTTATTGGCATTTGCTAACTTATTTAATATTTCTGTATCTTCTATGTTAAAGCTATTTACAGTAACTCCTAAGTATTTAAAGCTTTCTACTGGTTCAATTAAATAGTTGGCTACATTGAAATTGGTGCCTCTATTGATGGGATGTCGTCCAAACTTTATTATTTTGGTTTTTTCCTCATTTAGTTCCAAACCCACTTTTTTACATTCTTGAATAAACTTGTCGGCTAGAAAACACAAATCCTCCGACTTTTCAGCCAATATCACCACATCATCTGCAAAGGCCATGACATTTAAGTCTACACCCAATTTTAGGCCTCTCTTTAGATTTTTTATTTTTTGTAGAGCTTCTTCAATTGCTATGTTGAAAAGAGTGGGGGAAATCCCGTCCCCTTGTCTCACTCCTGTATTTATACTAAAGCTCTCCGACATTTCTCCATCTACATTTACTTTCGCTTTTGATTCGTCAACACATAATCTTGTCAATTTTATTAACTTTTTAGGTATGCCATGTTTTTCCATTTTCCTATATAAGGTCCTTCGATCAATGCTGTCGTAAGCTTTCTTGAAGTCAATAAATATCCCATAAAAACTCTTATTACAGTCTAACCTTGATATAACGAACCTCGATACAAAGAATTCCTTGATATAACAAATTTTTTTAAATCCCCTAGAACTCTCCATAAGACACAATGTATATTTTACCTCTACATAACGAACAAACCATAACAACGACCTTGATTTAACAAATTTTTTGTGATTTCGGCTAAAATAAGACAGCTCAATATAGCGAATTTATCATTGTCAGAACCTCTACATTGCGAATTTAACCTCTGCATAACGAATTGTCTACGTCTTTCCCTCGATATAACAAATCCCTCACCCCAATATTGTTTTTTGAAAAATGTGTTTCTTTATAAAATGAAATGGAAAGGTGACGTCATCGCTTGCGCCAACATTCGTATGCTCCGTTTTACACATCTCTGTCTGCTGTCGCTGCGCGCACTATGTTGCAACTGAGAACTGATTTCATTCACTGAGGACTGATAGCGACGTAATGTTTAGTAAGCTGTGATTGGGCGATAAGTAACTATGGTAAATTGTACAATTTTTGGATAAAGAGAAACCTAAGAAACAATATAAAAACAAAACCAAAGAGAAAGAATAGCAACATCGTTATTTTAACATTCCTTTTTCAAGTGTTTTTATTATCTTTAAGTTTGCTATGATTATACACTTTTATAATGACTTATCTAATAATTTATTGTTTTCAATACGTTTTGTTTAAACTAGCAACACCAATACTATAGTTAGTGATTATTATTGACATTCCTCTGTTGTGATAAATCAGTACTAAACTGTAAGTAGCCTACCGGCCTATCACGAGCAGTTGCTTACAAAACTTTCTACTACTGTTTTGTTTCGTTCTTTACATGGTTTATGACTACGCAATACAGTGTTTGGCTAGGTTTTAGGAGGGTTAGAACAAGCTGTGATTTTAAACTTACAGTTTTTTAACCTGTACCAAGGTCAATGCCATTTTCATGATTGCGCAATATTCAAGATTCCTCCCCTTTTTTATGCCGGATAATTTAGGTTCTACTGTACAATGTAAACACTGTACTGTAAAGTATTGTAGCATATGCTACTTTAATTGTGTTTTAATGATGTCTAATCCCGACCTATATTGACCGACGCTGGTTCTGAACCTCGACTTAGCGAAATTCCTGCAAACATAACCTCTATATAACGAACCTCGTTTTAACAAAATCCTTGATATAACGAATATTCAGTTCGGTCCCTTCAGATTCGTTATACTGAGGTTGTACTGTATATTCATAATATTTTGAGATTCCCTGTTTAAGCAAAAATATTTGGTCTACTGTCGATCTACCTTTCATAAAGCCGGCTTGTTGATCCTCAATTATTGATTCTGTGTACGGATTTAGTCTCATTAATAGAATTTTTGAGAATATTTTATATACTGTGTTTAGAAGTGAGATACCTCTGTAGTTTGAGCAAGACTGTTTGTCACCTTTCTTATGTAATGGGATTATTATCGCTTCTGCCCACTCCTCTGGTATTATTTCATTATTCCATACATTTGTTAAAAGGCTATGCATTTCTTTGTTATTTATTCAGATATGATTTAGATATATGAAATCATAAGTGTTAAATGAGCGTAGATTAGAGAACGAGATAATTTTGTCTGTATATCAATTAGTTTGGGCACTATTTTTGTTTTTGTTTTTTCTGGAATTATTATTTAGAAAAATGGTTTATAGTGCCTGTAAACCAGTGAAAGAAGTTAAAAGAGTCAACTAGGTAACCATTACAAACAGTCCATAGTGTACGAACAACTGTTATATACCCATAGGTTTTGATGTCAAATGCGCTGCAGATACATTTCACTGCCTGCCGTTTTAAGTGAAACTTATATCTACAGTGGCTAGTACTTCACAGCTAGGGCAAAACATCTGGCAGTGAACTTTATCTTATGACGCAGTTTGTTGCCACTGGCAAAACCTTATGAAATAATTTCAAAATCATATTTACACATTGTTATCAACAGGGTACTTCAATTCCCGGCAGATGCCTGGTTGAGGATTTCTCTTCGTCATGCTAGCCTCTCGATCTTAACGATTCTCCCAAGTGGTCGAGTGGTTCTACGTTCTGTTGGAGACACTGGACATTTCCCCCCTCAACTCCTCACATCAACGTAAACACAACGTGCAGTACAACTCGCACACCAATCAGTATACAGTTATATCTAGCATTATTAGAAATTGTATCTTGAGAGAAAAAACGAATCTGTAAAATTATAATTTAATGTTGTGTGTTTGTTGACAATTAAGTCTGGTTTGGTAATTTTGTATCTCTGCCATTTAAGTTTGTAATTTGGTTGATCAAAATAGCGTTAAAGGATGATCATGTTAACTGTTTGAATAATATTTATTTCCGAAATAATATACCAAGATTAGAATGATTCTGAGAAGCTGAAAACAGAACAAATGATAATACATGTGATTAAAAGTGCTTCAAATGCAAAAACTTTTATATTGATGGAATAAGTGAGGACTTAGTAATGTTTGTGATAAAATACACTCCAATGCAGGGATGAAAAACAAAATGGGCTCTGTTAAGTTGTATCATGAAATGATTATATCCTTGTGGATTGAAAGGTTTGAAATCAACTTCAATTTTTCCTAGAAAATAGTTCACAAAGTCCAACAAATGAAGCAATTATACTTTCACCTTAGTTTTACTCAATTTATTTTTTATTTAACTATGAAATTTGCATGTAACAGTTTTGCTTCAAACATGCCATTTAATGTTAATCTCACTATCATTCATAAACCAGGTTTGACTGAGTGTATTGATAGTCAAAAGTTTTAGTCTATGTCCTTATTGGTATATACTGTATTTGAGATTTTTCTTTATCATAAAATATTACCATAAGTTAATTTTTTAATAATTTTTGTTATAAAAAAAAATAAAATTCAAAATGTTAATAAATATATTGTTTTAATCTTAAAACCTACTTCCTTTTCCCAGATAACCAGACGTCGGTATTTTAATCAAGCAGCGGCGGATCCAGTGGGGGGGCAAAGGGGCCGACCGCTCCCCCCTTGGGCATACATATACACATATTTGTTACTGCATGTAATACAGTAGTGCACGAATACTAGAAAATACTAGAAAAATACTGGTATGGATCATAAACATAAACAAATGACTTTGTTGGCCCGAATCTCATACTAATAGCATTGAACATAATATGTGTTGGCAGTTCTATGTAAGCAGTGTTAAATAATGTTTATTTTCGGACCAAAAATGTCATTTGTTTATGTTTATGATCCATACAGGTATTTTTATAGTATTCGTGCAGTAGTGCATACAAATTGCGTAAAATAATTTGTGACACAAAACTTTGGACAAAGAAATGGTATGAAACTGCCATTTTGGAGACTTAGTTTACACAAATATTTCAGGGGGGGTACCCCGAACCCCCCCCTCCAGGTTTGCCCCCCCCCTTGTGACTGTTCTAGATCCGCCACTGTAATCAAAATGTGTTTATGTGGAGAGGTATTAAACCAAATTTGGAAGCATGGTAAAACTTTGTAATTATTATATTGACTGGGATTGCTTGAAAATGACAAAGGCATTTACAAAATAAATGGTATCAGCAATCTGACACATACTTTCTCCCATTAGCTTGTCAACACCTTTAACATAAGTAAGCGGTGGGAGTAACTATGAATTTTATGTGAAAATAACATAAGTTACAATAACTTTTGAACCATAGTTTTTACGGGAAGGGGAATTGTACCATTTTGTTAAGAATTTATAGGACCATAACATACTAAGTTGGACCAAAAACAGGTTTTTTTCTAAAATCCGATGATTTTGATATTCGATGTTTTTTTATGGGAAAATAACATAAGTTGCAATAACTTTTGAACTGTAATTTTTACGAAAATGGGATCTGTGCCATTTTGTTCAGAATTAAAGGGACTATATCATACTAAATTTTTATCAAAATCGTTCATTCAATTTTTTTGAAAATCTGATTTTTCCATGATTTTATGGAAAAATTGTCATTAAAAATAAAATTTAAAAAAATTAAAAAACGCCTGGAGATACCATGGATTAGTACAGTATTTACTTACCACATTAAATTAAAAATCAGCCTACAGGTGTGGTCTGCAGCTCTGTACACATCCACACATACAGACACACACACACAGACATTACTTCGAATCGAAAACCTGGGGTGCACAGAAGGAGCCTCCCCGAAGATTGTGACCATTACACGCTAAGAACGACATCACAATCGGGCGCACCCCGGGCAACGCTGACATTTCAGCGGCAAATCCTTCTACAACCGGAAGACTTCGAAAAATGAATCTACCTAAGCGGACTTTTTCAAGGCCATTAGTAAGATATCAGGGGAATATCGAGAGACAAAGAAATATTACTGTCTGATAAGTGCAAGATGTACGAATGTGACTTCCTCCTTGTGCAAGAAACATACCTTGGCATTTTAAAACCTAGACCCAACATAGAGGAACATAGAATTACTAAAATATTGAAAATAAAACATACAGAATTTAAACCCAAAAAAATATGAATTGAAAATCTATATCTGTACCTGTACAGCGGAGTCAATATTTCCATAGTCCAGTAACCAAGCTTTCGTAAATGAGTGAAAATTTAAAAACGTACGTTTTCATGTCCCTGGCCTTTTGCTTCGTAGATACTGGTTTTTTAGTTTGTGTTTTAATATTTTTTGGGACGGGGGCAACATGTTACACACATTTATTTGGTTTTAAATAGGTTCTAGGTATTTTTTATGTATTTTTTAAGTCTCGAAATTCACGACCATGACGTGTCCCTAGGGTACATTTTCCAACTTTCACGCTGTTTTTAGACTAATTATTCATGCCGAAATATATAAAGCCATATTTTTATGTCATCAATGGTTATTAAACTTACAAAAAAGGAGCATATTATAATTTTATTGTCATTGCAAACTGACTACCATGACAAAATAAGTCTGTCCCTCGATTTGGCGTCACGACCATTTGGGAAACAATTTCAACTTTGGAGCACGACAGTGGCAAGCCTGGCGTCGATGGAGTCAGTTGGTTTGAGAGACTAGTTCGGGGTGTACGTCAGGATTGTAGTGCCGGTCGTTTCGAGTTGAAAGGAGGAATTACAAGATTAATAAAGGAAAGATTGTGTTTTTTGTAATTTTGGTGTGTCCGTGACCGTATGTAGTCATTCGGTGAAGTAGACATGGTGTTAATTTTTGTTTATAAGATATTTCAATTGCTAGATTAACCTAGAAGTCCACTTTGTATCCTCGAACATGAGGTGCAGGGCTACCGCCAGAACAGAGCCAAATAACACGTAATTTCACGACCAAAGTTTCACGACCATCGCGGGTTTTTCACGACCAATCCAGCCTTATGGATTATAGTGTGTTTGGTCGTGACAATAACTTTAATATAATTGTAAATTGAACAGTTTAGTTCAATTGAAACACATATTTTTATTATAACTAACAGTATAATTGAAGGATTGTTTAGAAAGATTTACATTATTCCAGACAATTCACGACCGTACCGCTTGTCCCTGACCATCACGTTTATGACTTCTATCATAACAATTTCATAAATTAAAATATCGTCATATTTCAATGTTTTATACACAAGAGAAGCACACCTCTATACAAACATAACGATTATTCGGGTCTCGGGTAAGTTTTTTCGTAGTTATACAAACTTAAAAAGATTTTATTGGCTTTTTTCAATTTTTTGAGTTTTTTATTTTTTTCTGGAAAGACCAAATATACCAAAAGCTTAGTGACCTTTTTATTGTATAATGGTCATAAAAGTAAATTAGTTTATAGCAAAACATAGTTATAAAAATAATATTAACCATTTTAAATATTCATTTAAACGTCCGTTATGGTCGTGACAGAATTTTGTGTTTTTCCACTAAAGATGCTCTTTAAAAAAAAACTACCAAAGATATTGCGTTACCATGGACATTTTATGAAACTTCAAATGTTAATAAAATAAAAAAATAATAAAAGTTTTGAAAAAAGGGGAAAAAAATTTGCAAAGTGCTTTTCCTGAAAACGTGCGTTTTTAAATTTTCACTCAAATACACAAATGCCATTTATTAGCTGCTTCCAAACAAAACAGCTGTTACAACCCTACTTGCGTCTTTCGACGTTGTCACTTCAAAGGCCGTTGCCTGGTAGCCGTGCACTGACACACTCAAAACAAACATTTTTATGTTTATGTATATCCCGTGTGTTTCTGGCTTGTGGGTTCTTCATTCCGCGGTCCTATCCTCTTCTGGGTTAGGTAAGTCTGCATGATGGACGTTTTTCTGGTGGGGTTTTGGATATACCTCAAACAGTGAAGACACTCAACCCTGACCGTTCCTCAAAATCCCATCGATCTTACTATTAGCAATATCCCAATCTTTAAAAAAAAAACAAATTACAAAAATAATAATAACCATGTAACTAACAATAACAAACTGTTCATTTCAGATGACAATACCATAGATAAAACATACTCCCTTAGTAATACCATTCTATACTAACCCGAAGGAAGCAACCAAACTGAAAAGGTTATATATAAAATATTGAACCACATGGCTGCATTGTTTTTACTGAGCAAGCCGGCCATTTTCGGCAAAATAGAAAAAAAGAGTTGGAGAGGTTGAGGTTAGGTTCTTTCTTACTCAAAGGCGTACATATTTTGGCACATGTATATAATATTATATTAGTATTGTATTATTTTACATTAAAATTGAGGTATATCTTTTACAAGGAAGATTGACAATTAGTTCTATAAAGCCATGGTGAGTCTATTTCAAGCACATAAGCTAACTATTAATTTATTTTTAAATACAAAAGTGTTGTTAGCTCCTTTGAATAAATAAGGCTGTAGGCTAGGCTTATTATGGGATTACAGTATCATTAAGTTAATACAATTGTGACTACCAAGCAAGCCAGAATGTTACTACATAGGCATATTGCTCTCCTAGTGATCAGAAGGTCTTTGCTTTGATCCTGAGAAAAGTTTCTGAGCAACCGGTTTGGTTCAAACCTGGACCCAGCTGTCATTGTTCTTTAGGTTAACTTATGGATAGGCCTAAATTATTATGGTTGGATAATATGACTGTAGTTCGTCTGTCATCAACTTGTTCATCAAACTAACAAAGAGATGGGAAGCTCGTATAAAATTTACTGAATTGGATCAGTCAGTCTTGGTCACTGTCGCCTGACCTGGTAACTTAAACCATAGCCAGTCGTTTCACAATCATTTAGTTCGTTAGTCAGCCTACCCTAACTAGCTTAGTTTGGATCATAAATACACAATGTTCAATTTTACGTACCATTGGCATAAATTACATAAGTAAATTATCTTTTTCTTTTAATTGTCTAATTATGGCCTAGCCTAATTTGTAGGTAGCCTACATAACAGACCTTGACATACGACTCTACCGTTTGAATCAAATTATCGATGATAAGACTTATGATTTTTAGCGATAACTTAAGTGGGCTGATGTAAGTTAATCGTATGGTCGCCATTTCAGATAAAAGTATAAAGTAGGCTAGGCCTACGGTATTAATCGACTTAACTTGTTTTGATATAACCACCTCCCTTTTTATAGCCTAAGTAATAAGTTACAATGCTAATACTTAGTTTGCATAGTAAAAATAAAATTGACTAGGGCCTAGGCCTACTGTAAAAATGAGGCTTTAACGTGTTAGCCCACTTCCATTCTCTTTCACTTCCGTTTTGTTGTGAACAGAGATGTAAATGTAACTTAGGCCCAACAGAAACACTCAACTTTTGGGTCACTCAAGGTTCTTCACTCCTTAGTTCCAGTCACCAGTCATCTCAGTCTCTTCGGTCGGTCTTGGAACGACAAGGAAAAAGTGAACGAAGTGGAGTACGTGAACAGGTCTTTTCAGTCGGTAAAATCCGGGTCACTTGTTCATTTGTTCACTTGTTGGAATCAAACTTGTCTTGACCAAACAACCCACTTCAACTTGAAACAATCATTTTAAAATACACACTATGACGTTCTGGTATTATTTTATTGAAATCAAATCTATTTTTTGCTATCAGATTTCCCCCCTTATTTGCTGTAGATTAATAGGATTTAAATCATAAATAAAATCTTTAATAGCCGACTGGGACTAGGCTTCTGTGTTAAATATTTCATTGATATAGGCCTACTACGCAATTCAATTTTCAGACTTGATTGAGAATTGATTCCCAACTAATTATAGGCTGCTGCAATTGTTATTTTTATCCTAACTCATCATCCTTAGGCATTCAATTAATTAATAATCATTATTAGATGTAAAATCTAATTTTAAATAACCTAGGGTGTAATGTACAAATTAATGTTTACAGAAACCTTTACTTCTACAAGGTCACGAGCGTTCTATCACTCAGATTAAGTACAACAGAGAAGGAGATCTGTTGTTTTCTGCCTCTAAGGATCCGGTACCAAACGTCTGGTACTCGTTGAATGGAGAGAGACTTGGTAGTTTTGAGGGCCATCAGGGAGCCGTGTGGTGTATCGATGTCAACTGGGAATCCACAAGGTTCATGTCAGGATCAGCAGATGCATCCCTTAAACTGTGGGATTGTTCTAATGGTAGGATTCATAAACAAACTTTTGAGTGATACATTTTAAGTTAGCAGAGATTAATTTTCACTTTGTGTTCAAGCCTAAGATTATAATTTTTTCTAAAAAATCACTAATCTTAAAAAGAGAAAGGCTCAACAGCTCTCTGTCGAAATTCCAGAGTTTAATTTAAAATAATGAGTTAGTCCTTTTGTTTTAAATTTATTAATTTATATTGATAATTTACAATTTAAAAACACTAGTTAGCAACTAAGTTATTATAGAATCTTTAAAAATATTGAAACTTGCACAATCAATAACTTTAAAACTTAAGTTAGGTTAGGCCTACATTATATGATTATGATTTGCAGTGGTGAAGTGGGACAGGAAAAAGAGGAATCGGGGTTTTGACTCTGCTTTTTCCAAAAATCATATTTATTATACTACTAGCTGTTACCCACAGGCTCCACCCCGTTTGACTTCATAAGTGTATTAATAAAACTATTGATTGGTTAAGTTAAGTTAAACAAAACAGAGTACAGTACTTAATACAAACAAATAAGTTACAGCAGAGGTATTTTTAACATTAGGTATTTGGAAAGTTCCCTTTAGAAAGGAATTACGACCTTAACCCTCCGAGTGTCCATAGTTTAGGCCTTAATGTCCACCTATTTTTGGCCCCTTTGCAAGGTTTTATTAAAACGGATCTGAGAAGCTTAAAACAATGTCAATTCTAATGTTCTATATACCATTTTGTTTGGAAAATCATGGGCTTCAATATTATATATAAAACATAAGGAACATTTTTTCAAAAAAAAAATTTTTAGGTAAAAAAAAATATAATTTCGAAAATTTTCTAAAAAAAAATAAGTTCGCGCTCAATGAAATTGTATAAATTATAGGCCTATAAATATTTGAAAATAGCCACTTTGTTCTAAATTTAATGAGGATTACAAATATATAATCATATAGCGAGGTAAGTTATCAAATAAATAAGTTATGAGCGAAAAACGGATTTCAGTACATAGCGTTTAGCTAAGAATGCATAGCCTAACCATAGCTAGGAATCTGGCTGATAATTTACATCAATATCACTACCTACTTCTTCAGGATCATCAACCAGCACTTCAAAACCACTTAAATCTTCTTATAATGCACCACGTATATCACTACTTTTGATTTTTAACACTAAAACAATGATAAACGTAATAAAACACATCAGTCATCGGTCCGGGGGAACCTAGCTGTTTACAAATACACGCACGTCAGCTGTCTGCTACAATATTTTCGGAACTAAAATGAATAGCGCTTAGAGACAGACCTCTGGAGAAAGCTTAGAATATTACGGAAAGAACGATACCTAACTCGATCCAGTTCAATCCGATTCAGTCAGTCATAGAGCCTTCGCCGTAAACGATGTTTGTGCGTCATAAAAGTGACGCGTGACCCTACACAAAGTGTGTTGTGCGTCATTTTTATGACGCGTGACACTCGGAGGGTTAAAGGGCAATTTATGAAAAAATGGATAGTTTTGCACACGGTTTCTCATCATTACCAATATTTTAAGTTGGCCTACCGGTATGGTTTAAGTATGGGGGTGTGACTTGTAGTTTTCCCAAAAGTTCATGGGTACTTTGGGATTTATATATGGATTTATTATATTAGCCTAATAGGTAACCCCACGTTTTTCTGGGACGATAATAGTGAGTGTTTCCGCATTGGAAAATTAACAAATAATTTATGCCGCTGATTTTGTGAGAAAGATGCCAAAATGAATTTACCAGCACTTTACATCTCCATTGAGGTGGGTTATGTCCATAGTTTGGATAGCAAAAAAAAAACTTTTATGTGAATACAAATGTAGGCTAATTAAAAACCGCTCTCAAGGGTTAGTTTTAGTAGCCTACCGTACCTATTAGACAAACCAACTGGAGTTAATAAGAAACACAAAGCTATCATGAAGATTTTACTGCTTGATTGTTGGAGCTTTCAGGGTACAGTAACAATCCTTTAATTAGTTTTAGTTACCCTCTTGACTTTTTGGAAAGTATCTGGGTAAGATAGAGACAAGGCTAAGTTAAGTAATACAGTAACTACTAAATTTAACAGTTTTTTTATATCGTAATTTGATGAATAACGTTATACTTAAACAATTGAATTTTTATCAGGTATTGAAATCGGCCACATTGACACAACTTCTTCTGTAAGAACTTGCAACTTTAGCTACTCGGCCAACATGGCTGCATTCTCAACTGACACTGCTCGTAAACAAGTGTGTGAGATCATCATCATGGACGTGAGGAATGCTGATAAATCATTAGGTAAGAGCTTTTTTTGAAAAGGAACAGTTTTGAAGCTAAAAGTTATTTTTATTTGTTGAACCGAACCCTTATTTTTTATCCTATAATTTGTAGATCTACCCAAGTTTGTTTATTTATAATTTGTAGATATTCCCAAGTTTGTTTATTTATTTTCAGTACCTGCTTAATTTGTCGCTAAGTTTATTTATTTACTAGCAGAGTACCCGTCCTTCGTACGGGGTTGGCATATAAGTATAAATGCATTTAGTTATGGGAGAGGACACGGATTATTAAAATTTGGTCTTTTAATTTATACGGTATTATATAGTATCATATAGTGTCCTATAGTATCTACCATAGCCCTAATATTCTACCACTGCACCTAAACCATGAAAAAAGTTAAGCTCTCATTGTGTCTCACTTTTTGTTCCTAGTTGGTTAAAATTAGCTGTGGTCATAAATGCAAAAAACACAATAGTGCTGCACCCTGTTGGTAAGCCTTATACCTTTTTAATGCTATTTAATATCATAGAACCAACTTGTAAAGTTGAAACGGCTGACAAAATTCTTTATTTTCTTTAAATATGAATACTCATAAGGTTTACATGAGAAACTCCAGAGCCAGAGCCACTGGGGCGGAGCCTGAAAGGATTTTTGAGGTAAGAATAATATGTAAGAACAACACGTGAAGTTTATCTGACAGGTGGGAGAACTTAGGGTCTCCAGAATTACGGAGCTCCTCTTCCTAAAGATAAAATTAGTCTATAACAAGGTTTTTGTTTATTAAAGTTATTTCTAAATTATTAACAAAGCATGATTAATAACCCCCATCACTGTAAAAAAAAAGCTACACCAGTTAATGTTAATGTTAATGTTTAAGTACAATGAATTTTATATTGCATTGAGCCTTAAATACAGGAAGAAAACATGCAATATTTTTTACGTACAGTAGGGTCACAAAACATTGGACATTAATTATATTAAAATATTTGTAGTTAATTTACAAGAAACATTGGGCGGAGCCTGAAAGGATTTTTGAGGTAAGAATAATATGTCTATATGTTAATCGGGAATGTCAGCTATCATCATACTAAATTTCATCCTTGTCGGTTTAGTATTTTTCGCGTTTACTTGTCACAAACTTCCATCCATCCATCCATACATCTATACATCCGTACATCCAAACTTTCTGATTATAGAATCTTAATTATTTCCTATATCCATGAACAATTTATTTACAAAGATTTATTCCCTGTAAAATATTATTACAGCATTTCACAAATATTAGAACAGACTCAGTATAATAGATCATAAACATAAACAAATGAGGTAACTGAAATTACATTAACATATAGTTTGACAGCTCTATTTAAGTAATGTTAAATAATGTTTACATTCGGGCTAGTGACATCATTATTTTAAATTTATAATCCTTACCCTCTCTGTTCTAATATTCGTGTAGTATTTAATATGTTTGAACCAGCTGTGTGGGGTTGTGAAATCAAAATTCATTTGACAGTTAGTTCTGCTTGTTTACATTTTTAAACTTTGTAGGTTGATTCTTTGTTACTATGGATACCATCAATCAATATTTACTTTTAAATCTCCCACCTCAAATTTTTGAAAGCCCACGGGGCGGAGCCCTAGGACAATATCGAAGCGGGAATAGTTCTATATGTATCCTTGGAGCTGTAGCTTCATTTGTGTGCAATTTGAGCCCAGTCGGTTCATTAGTTTTTGAGATTACCTCATACAAACACACACACACACAGACACCACCTCTTCTTTATAATAGTATAGATTAGCCATCTCAGGTAATTAGCAGTTATTGATAATCTCATAATTCCATTTTAACAAGATAACTTAACTAGATCAAAAAGGCTACCGGTATTAAATTGTTTTGTAAACTTAGGTTCATTTAAAAAAATTGTATCTAGATCAAGTGAATCCCAGATGCATTACACAATGGTTGTCTTTGTCTGTGTAAATTAAGATCACCAATGAGCTCCTGTCTAGACGGAGTAAGCTCAGGTAAAATATGATAACAGTGTATAAGGGCTATGATAAGATTCAGTGCTGTAGACATGTGGTGGATTAAAACAGTGGATGGCGAAGTAAAGATCAGGTGGTGTTGTCAGATTTAAACTAACTTAGCTCGCTCCGTAGCAATGAGAGTGGACTATCTTTGCACTTTCTGTACTACGTACAGTACTAGAATATGTGTATAAAATTAGAAATAAAATTACCTATCAATGATTTTACTCCACGTTTTATTTCATAATTTCTTGTATTGTTTTAGAAAGTCAAGAACCTATTCTCAGAATAAAGGTGGATGAATCAAAAGTGACATCAATGCTTTGGGGACCCTTAGATGAAACGTTGATATCTGGACATGAAAACGGCAAAATCGTCCAGTGGGATCTCAGAGTAAGTAGCCAAGTACTAAGCTAGATTATTGAAAGTGTTCAAATTGGTGTTTTTTACTGATGAATTTATCATTAGGCCTATCAAAAAAATGTACTTGTTTGAACAAATTTTTCCATACCAATTTACTTTAAACCTAAAAAGCCTTGTCCTCCTTTTGCATGATTAAGGTTAAGAGTAACCTATTGCTCATGCTCAGTTAAAAAAATAATTATTGCGTCGTGCCGTTGTTTTATAGGGTTGGTAAGATAGTAATATATTCTAATCCAGAGGGTAGCCTACAGAATTTACAACATTTGATTCTGTTTTTCCTGGCACCCTCCACTCAAATTCAAAATTGGTTTGAGACATGTTTTAAGAAAAAAAAAAAAAAAATCACAGGAATTGAAATGGTATGCAATTGTGCAGATTTTTGTTGCATGGAAAACCATTTAAAACATTTTTATTAGGCCTAGGCTTAGTGCTTTAAGTACTTGTTACATAGAAACTTGTATACCAATTGGTTAATCAGTTATCAGTTAATCTGTCAGTTCAGTTCAAAAGCTTTAAATAATTGATTGGCATTCATTTCCCTTTGGTCACCGGTGCTAGCGGTCACATGTTTTTGTTTTATTGTTTGTTAATTTTTTTAGTTACATGCCAAGGCTGAACAGTTACATCAAGTTATTGTTTGTTTGTTTTGAATATATTTTAGTTATAATTTTATATTTTAGATGAAAGGAAACATGTAGCCTAAATTAAAAATAAACGGTACCAGCAAATCTGACACATACCAATGAATACAAACCCTGTAAGATGCTTATGGAAAATAGTCAAACTGAAATTTTTCTGCCGAAATTAGCTTTGTGCGCCCGCTGCTATGATGGCTCACACGGGGGCCGTGCTATTCTATCTCTCTCTCTCTCTCTCTCTCTAAGCCGATTCTTTGTCTCACTCTCTCTTAATCAGTCAGCTGACTTTGCCGGGTGCTTGCGATAGTCCACCTAGTGGCCGCCGTATGAACTATCTGAAATTCAAATATGTCCAGACTGAATTTTTAACAACGGCATTTTGCTTCTTAAATATTTTGTATTCATTGCACATACATTCTCCCATTAGCTTGTGAAGAACACTTATCATCTGGGTAAGTGGTGGGAGTAACTATGATGTTTTATGGGGAAAATCACATAAGTTGCAATTTCGAAGATATAGGCCCTACCATAAATTAGTTCGCACTCACCAAATTTTTTAAATCAGACCTTAGGTTGGGTCTGCAGCTAAGTACACATCCACTCACTCTCACACATATACAGAGACCTATGGTATAGGAAAAGAAAGTAATATGCCTAATTAAGTACCAAATATCGGGAACTTAAAGGGCTAGTAAGTGTCAACGTAAATACATAAACGGTTTCTCCACAGACTGGCAAGGAGGTGACTAGTGTGATCGCCCACGAAGGTCCCATCAACGACATGCAGATGAGCAAGGATCAGATCTTCTTTGTGACAGCATCCAAGGATCACACGGCCAAGTTGTTCCTGACCGACCAACTCAACCACATCAAAACCTACAAGACGGAGCGACCTGTCAACAGTGCGGCTCTGTCACCTATACTGGATCATGTGAGTGCCGTTGCTGTTACAATTATGTTATTTATAAGAGGAAAGAAATGTAGACCTATATAGTTAAAGTGAATTCAAATTGGATGATCTGGCAAATTCAATAAAATCTAGCGTTGGTTGAGGGTGTGTTTGGCACTGAATAACTCTTGGAAGTGTCTTAGTTTTATTCTCATACACAAGTTTTCAGAGCCCACTATTATATAAGACTATACTATAACATTACAAACATTTTAACCCAATGATAACTTGGACAACGATGAAGAAGGAGTGACACTGCAGTCTACTACCTGTGTCAGGACCGTCCGTTTAGCAGGATTTTGTTTTATTTGTGTTTGTAAGACATTTACTTCATTATGTTTTTGTCACCTTGTAATGATGCTGCATTTACGGCAAAACATATGTAGGTAATTCAACTGATCTCTACAAGAAAAAAAGTTGCATTCCATGAAGAGGTAAATTCATCATACTGTCATGTAAATCCATGCTTAATTAGTCACTTAAGAAGTTCAATGCTATACCAAAATTGGTAATATCACACAAAGCACTAAATATAAAAATTTAAATTAGGCTAACTTACCAAATTTATTCTCGGATGATGTTCTGATAATATTTAGTTCAATTTTCGACCAGTTATATGACCTCATTATTTGTGATGGGAACCTTGTAATACGCCATATCCATCCGGCTGCCATGTAGAGTCGGCGTCCGTGACAACAACAATTGTATTGTAAACACTCATTGATTTCCCAGTGTTTTATATAATTTATATAGGTACAAATATTCAGAGGACTAAAATTACTAAACGCTATCACTAAAATACGTGAGCTATTTACTGCCTACTTTTCTTTAGTCCCCAATTGAGTCATGGTAGATTTTAAGATCATCATTATTCTCTTTTGCATCCTATTCCTGTTGCGGAGCACTATATTAATTGTAATGACAAAAAACTTGTGCTGTAAATTATCTAGATGGGTTTATCATTTCCTCCGATCAATGTAATTGTTCACCACACTAATCTGAAGTGAATGATCTGTTAGGTGGTGCTAGGAGGAGGTCAGGAAGCTATGGAAGTAACCACCACCTCAGCGAGGGCCGGCAAGTTCGATGCCAGATTCTACCATCTTGTCTTCGAGGAGGAGTTTGGCAGAGTAAAGGGACACTTTGGACCAATCAACAGCTTGGCTTTCCACCCGGATGGTAAGAGTTACGCCAGTGGAGGAGAAGACGGTTACGTCAGAATCCACAATTTTGACTCTTCCTACTTCGACTTCAATTTTGATTACTAAATGTTTTGGGGTTTTGTTAATACAAGTTTCTACTCTACACTGGATTTGTTTGTGTATAAATCCTTACCAGATTTTCTAGTGGGACAAATTTCTTCTTAGGTTACAGAATTCCTTAGCCAAGTGCTTTTACCTCCAAAACACTTGTTAAGGTAAAACAGTGCTTCTGTATCATGGAATGCAGGCCTCAATTGAACGAGGTATGCAATTGTAAAACACAATATGTTTATGGACTGTGAGTCTATAGTTGGCCTGCAAATAAAAACTTGAAACTTTACATATTAGTGAAAAGCTGTGAAATAACCTTAGAACTTTGAAAAAAAAACAATAGGCTAATAATTTCAATATTTTGGATGAAGAATGTTGGTGAAGCAAAAAAAAGAAAAGAAATGGAAGGAACTGTGGAAGTAAAAGGTTTTTTGAAGCTAAACATAATCAGATTCTTCACACCTACCAGTAATCTATCTAGTGATAGGTACATAGCAAGATGTGATTCACTTTTTAAAATTACTAGCAGAGTACCCGTCCTTCGTACGGGGTTGGCATATAAGTATAAATGCATTTAGTTATGGGAGAGGACACGGATTATTAAAATTTGGTCTTTTAATTTATACGGTATTATATAGTATCATATAGTGTCCTATAGTATCTACCATAGCCCTAATATTCTACCACTGCACCTAAACCATGAAAAAAGTTAAGCTCTCATTGTGTCTCACTTTTTGTTCCTAGTTGGTTAAAATTAGCTGTGGTCATAAATGCAAAAAACACAATAGTGCTGCACCCTGTTGGTAAGCCTTATACCTTTTTAATGCTATTTAATATCATAGAACCAACTTGTAAAGTTGAAACGGCTGACAAAATTCTTTATTTTCTTTAAATATGAATACTCATAAGGTTTACATGAGAAACTCCAGAGCCAGAGCCACTGGGGCGGAGCCTGAAAGGATTTTTGAGGTAAGAATAATATGTAAGAACAACACGTGAAGTTTATCTGACAGGTGGGAGAACTTAGGGTCTCCAGAATTACGGAGCTCCTCTTCCTAAAGATAAAATTAGTCTATAACAAGGTTTTTGTTTATTAAAGTTATTTCTAAATTATTAACAAAGCATGATTAATAACCCCCATCACTGTAAAAAAAAAGCTACACCAGTTAATGTTAATGTTAATGTTTAAGTACAATGAATTTTATATTGCATTGAGCCTTAAATACAGGAAGAAAACATGCAATATTTTTTACGTACAGTAGGGTCACAAAACATTGGACATTAATTATATTAAAATATTTGTAGTTAATTTACAAGAAACATTGGGCGGAGCCTGAAAGGATTTTTGAGGTAAGAATAATATGTCTATATGTTAATCGGGAATGTCAGCTATCATCATACTAAATTTCATCCTTGTCGGTTTAGTATTTTTCGCGTTTACTTGTCACAAACTTCCATCCATCCATCCATACATCTATACATCCGTACATCCAAACTTTCTGATTATAGAATCTTAATTATTTCCTATATCCATGAACAATTTATTTACAAAGATTTATTCCCTGTAAAATATTATTACAGCATTTCACAAATATTAGAACAGACTCAGTATAATAGATCATAAACATAAACAAATGAGGTAACTGAAATTACATTAACATATAGTTTGACAGCTCTATTTAAGTAATGTTAAATAATGTTTACATTCGGGCTAGTGACATCATTATTTTAAATTTATAATCCTTACCCTCTCTGTTCTAATATTCGTGTAGTATTTAATATGTTTGAACCAGCTGTGTGGGGTTGTGAAATCAAAATTCATTTGACAGTTAGTTCTGCTTGTTTACATTTTTAAACTTTGTAGGTTGATTCTTTGTTACTATGGATACCATCAATCAATATTTACTTTTAAATCTCCCACCTCAAATTTTTGAAAGCCCACGGGGCGGAGCCCTAGGACAATATCGAAGCGGGAATAGTTCTATATGTATCCTTGGAGCTGTAGCTTCATTTGTGTGCAATTTGAGCCCAGTCGGTTCATTAGTTTTTGAGATTACCTCATACAAACACACACACACACAGACACCACCTCTTCTTTATAATAGTATAGATAGATAGATAGAAGATACTTGTTGGCCTATAGGGCCTACGAAAAATTACTTATTTGTAACTTAAGTTTACAAATTGGAACACTTTGATAATTTTTTTCCAAACCAAACCCTTAGTTCAAATCCCCCCTTGATTCAAATATTTGCCACATAGATTTTTATATGTAAATAATTCCAAATGCTCACTCCACAATGTTTTTGCTGCAGTTTTCATTACTGAATCTAGACTGATCAAATAATTACATAATGTATATTTTTAATATTTGATAATAACCGTATAACGTAACATGATATTTTGATATAGCAAATTACATAGCATTAACAACATTAAAACTGAAGGGTAGCTCAATTAAAACAATTTTAAATATCCTATATAATTTAATGTCACATAAAAATATGTTAGAATCAACAATTTTTACAAAATTCTTATACTGTGAATTCAGTGCACAAATTTGGCGGGAACATTTTTACCTAGGTACAATCTGCTTATTTGCAATAAAGATACATTGCATTTTCTTAGTTATTTATTGGCTTATAATACTGTTATATTAACATACAATTAGTTTCTAATTTTAGTAAGTAAATTATAATTTGAAAGATTAAGAAAGATAACACCCAACAAAAGTTTTTCCTCTGTAATAAATGATGGGCCGCCAACTGTTTTTACAGTAGATCTAAAGAATTACTTTAGTTAGATTTAATGATTCACTTCTTTATTCTCACCATGTTGTTGTGAAGCACGGGCAAAGCAACTAGTTGCTGATAAAGCTGGTAAAACAAAAAAATTTCACAAGTAATTCATATGAACTTTACTTTCATATGAAAAGGTAAATAAATATCAATGACTCCCCCCAAGGTTATCAATGTTTCAGTTAACGCAAACATCCATATTGTCTCTAGTATGCCTAAATTATTTTGGGTAAATCTAAAATTCTTTCTTTTGTTAATTTACTATATGACTTCATATATTTCCTTAAATAAACTTATATTTGTAGGACAATCTTAACAATTTCTTAAGATTATTCAGTGTGGCAGATTGCGTGTAATAAATATATAAAGGCTACTTACAGTCTTCGCAATCCTGATTAATTGAGCACTACAATACAAATCAAAAAGGACAAGGTATAATTTGAGCAGCTATGTTGGTACACATGTTATCAGTTATTCCAGTCGTCCACCCAACCTTTGCAGTGATAAAGTTCGATCAGTCGGTCGTCAGTTTTTAGCCGTGCACGTGCCTGAATGTTTTCGTGTCGTGTCCGTGTCTTGTGTTGCATGTACTATTTATTAAAATTTGACGCAATGAAAATGAAGAAACCTCGTAAAAAATGTAAATATGTAAATAGGCCTAGTTCAGTTTAGTGTATGATGACTACGCACCCGACGATGGAGTTATCTCCGAAACGGCCGTAGTGCTCAATTAATCAGGATTGCGAAGACTGTAAGTAGCCTTTATACAATTTCTTAGTTTATGTACAAATACACATTTTAATTATCCAAATAAAATGTTTGAATTTTAGTAGTAACAAATCAATTTAGAGTATCATCTAATTTCTTTAGCGTGTGTTTAACAACTTTTTTATAAAAGGAACCTTTAAAATTTCTGTTTCTATGTTTGATCCATTGAATATATTTTTGATTCAGAATTAATAATCAAAATCACAGTATATTTGAACCTTATCTAACTAATTTAAAAACAAAATTACACTAAAAGTACAAAACAACAAAACTTCATATTTAATTCCTAACTACAGTAGACTCCTCGTTCAGATCCATCTGAACCACTTACGCTCCTTTCACACTATACGATTTCGCTCGTGCGGTTATTAATCGTATTTGTTGTATCGCATTGGAGCTTATGGCCCCTTTCACATTATACGATTACCAACCGTGTACGATTTTCACCCGCGTAGCGACCGTAGGTGCACACGGTTGGTATCCGACTCCCGCACGAGTAAAAATCGTGTCTACTGCTAGTGGCCATGTGACCATATGGCCCCTTTCACACTACACGATTGTAGTCGTGCGGTAGCCCTCCCCAAGTGCAGTTTGTTGCGTATAGTTTTCAGATATTTTGCGTTTACAGTTGTTTAATTGTTTAATTATTGAGTTGAACTACCTGTGCATACAGTATTTTATTATTTAGTTTTTGTTATTAATTACAGTTTTGTCTATATAGTTAAAATTATGAATGTGATTGATCTTGAAGCTTTAAACGATTCTCTTGAAATCCGAAAATAGTTGAAAAACCTTTCTTCGTCATTTCTCAGGTATTTAAATAATGTTTTAAGCATCCCCACTTCCTCACGTCTCAAATTTAAATACGACTATTATTAAATTTATTTTTCTCCGATAAATTATCAAAGTAGCAATAATTTCCTCGCGATCCATACTACTTAAAACTTTAAACTGAAATGTCAATGAACTCTGTTCTAGTGGAGTGGGGGTTAAGATTTTTTTAATCGTACGATTACAAATCGTATAGTGTGAAAGTGACAGACCCACGATCATCTGCACGTACGATTAACACTCGTACGAGCGAAATCGTATAGTGTGAAAGGAGCGTTACAGTGTATGATTCATGTAGTTTTAAACATAACCACATGAAAAACAAGTGACGATCTGTTCCTACATACAGATATTATTACTTTGTTAATATTTTATTGTTTTTAATGGTACTACAAAGCATAGAAATGTTGCAATTTTTGTAAAAACATATAAATCCATTTAACTTGTAATTGCCAAGACAGTAACTTGTAATTGCCAAGATAGTTTGTTAAGGCTATAAATCGAGGAAAGTCTAATCTAAATTATTTCCTTAGAAACTGTAAATAGATAAAAATGCCCTGTGCAATATAAGTTGTACCGTGCTACAATAATTTACAGCCTACAGTAAGTAGTTAGTCTACTTTGATATCTTGAACGTTAGTATCAGGCAGTTCACTATCACTGGAATGCCTGATCAAGTTTTCAATGGTAAAAAGTGATGTCTTGGTTTGCCTTTGGGCCTTCGACTTGATAGACTGAGAGTTTCCTTCGGGGTATCCTTCAGTTTTTTCTTCAGTTTTTTCCTCAACTTCCCTCAATGGAGTCCAAGATGTATGTTCTGGTTCTGTGAGCTCCACTTCTACTGGCATAATTTCAGGCTGGAAAAATACAAGTTTTTAAGAAAAAAATCTAACTATAAAATCCCACAACCTCTTGATCCTATAGTTTTTATTATTGAGATACGATTAGCCTATTAACTAACCCTTTAACTAACTCTTTATCAATGTCACTTTTGTACATTGTCTCAAGTTCCTACATAAATTTCAACAAAACACGTCCATACTACATATTGGTGGTTCGGTAGCTCAGTTGGTAATGCCACAGACTTTAGGCCCTAGGCAGTGATGTCGTGGGATCAAATCCTGGTACCTGCCACTACTTTTTATCAATACCCTTGTACTTTTCCGGATCACCCCTTGCTTTGCTGGATACATTCGACACACAGGTCCCTAGCCTATGTGGATGGGCATTTGCAAGGTTAAAAGAGGCTGCCAGGCTTAACAAAAATAAAATTCAAACTAAAAAAATGTGAGTTCTCTATACTAGTGTAAAAGGAAGCAAACCAGGTGATGTGCGCCATCCCTATTTAACCCACTAAAGCCGTCAACTTCCACTCAAGCTGGATAACATTTGTTTAAGATTGGCCTTCCAACCTGCTATGCCACACATAACGTAAGCTTAATCTGCATTGTACACATATGTGAATTAAACCCACCCATGTATATAAGAGTCAGAGCTATATTCACAGCTACATGTTAGTGGAACACATTAAGTTAATTCAACCACCATGTCACCGTCAGCTGGACGGAATAAGTTGGTTAGGGCCTGAATGTGATACGGAATGCTAATTGGGGTGGGGTTCGGAACCCCCTAAAGGCATCTGCTTATGTTTTCCCTCAATAAATGATGCAATTTCTAGAAAAAGGTCAATGTTAGATAGGAGTAAGATCAAGATTTGGCCTGTTATCTAACAAAAACAAAATTCTAATTTCCTAGGTAAGCGGAAAAGAAAAGAAACATATAATAAAAGTTACCTGTCTCTGACGTCGAGGTCGCCTTCTTCGGAAGTTACCTCTTTCGAACATGTTGGCAGCCTTAACAGGGTCCAAGGTCCAAAAACTACCTTTACCCCCTCCCTCCCTCCCCCTTTCACGGGGAACACGCACAAAGCAGTCATTGAGGCTCAGGTTGTGCCGGATTGAGTTCTGCCAACCCTAGAAGAATAAATTTATAAATTATAGATGCTGATGAGTTGGTCGATATTACAAGACACGGTAACTAACATAAAACTTGTTTGGATACTTTCGCACATAAATTGGCCAAAAGGATTGTGGATACTGATAAAAAATGTCTTTGTAAATTGTATGACAATTGACTGTTAAAATACGTTTTTTTCCATGGAGCAATGTAGTAAACTGAATGAAAACTTCAGAGGTTAGGACTATATCCTTTCACCGGATGTCTAAATTAATTTTTGTTTCCTTTGAACTTTTTTTTAGGAATAACTGTACATAAAAATAAGGCTTCCGCAGTCGCCAACACTAACACTACAAACTAGGTCGGGGTCAGCTACGTCAAAGACAGAAACTAATTACTAATTGCTAACATTTCTGCATTACGTATTACTGTAGTAGTGCTTTACACCAGTACCCGTGAACTGCTCTGAGGAGGGCAAAACGTCATCACTCAAGTTTCTCTTACGTTTATTGCAAGGGCCTAGTTTGTAATGTTGTATTTTTTATTTGACATCAACGTAGACTCACCTGGCAGTTGTGACGGTAGTAAGGGAACCTGTCGCTGATGAACTGGTAGATTCCGCTGAGTGTGAGTCTCTGATTGGGCGCAGAGGTTATGGCCATCGCTATCAGCGCAATGTAGGAGTACGGTGGCTTCTCAGGTCGGGGGTATAACATGTCCTCAACTGGCCTTCCCAGCTCCTGCAATAAATCGTAATTTATTACACTTAAATTGAATAAATTATTTCACAAAAACATAAAACAATACTTCAATTGAAAGTAGGAAATGTCGTGTTATAAATTTGTCATATATTAACCTACATATGCGGTTTTAGGGAAAACAAAATTTTTAGGCGCAACTATTAATTATTTGACTTTTTCAAATTTGGTGTCGTTTTATAGATAACTTGTGCACCTGTTGCTCGCATTCGAGCAATCGCAAGGTATTACAGGCGTTATTTCAAAACAAACAAGTCATAATTCCCGAGAGTCAACTCAAAGATAATGTAAAATAATTGCACTCCAGTTAACGAACGCTCACTCCACTCCAGTTATCGAAACCAAAAACAAACTCACTCTGAAAACGAACCCTTTTATATCGTGTATCATGTGTTTACTATGAACAGCTGTAATTAATACAAATTATTTGTCTGTAAGTAAACAAAATCTTTTCTTCATAAGAAATACATTGGGATATTGATAGCCTGCGGAGCAAAGCTTGAGGACTTTTATTACAGGAATTGGTGAAAGGGGGTATCTACACAAAAAAATACTTAATTTTGACACATCATTATTTGTAAACATTTTTCCATTATTAACGGAGGAGTAGTGTTTTGAAGAAATCACCTTCCCGTATTATATATAAGGATTTTAAATAAAAAATTATATAAGGATTTTAGATGCAAAATAAAAGTGTTTTTTGCACTTTTTCATAAAACCAGCCACTTTTAGTAATTTAAGTTATAAAAAAATGGCCGCCATTTTGGAACAACACTTTTTTAGATTATTTTTTCTGAAATAAATTTTGAGTTGATAAAACTTCTTTGTAAAAAAATTTGTAAAGATATCTTAACAAGTTTTTGATATAGGCCCTATTTAAACATAAATAAACGGTATCAGCAATCTGGCACATATACTTTCTCCGGGAGCGTTTCATAAACTCCAAATTTCACAAACTCCAACGCTTAAAATATTAAATGAACAGCACGTTTCATAATGTCCAAATTTCATAAGCTCCAAAACTATAACATTCAAATAATCACTAGTTCACAATGTCCAAGTTTCACAAACTCCAACGTTTAAATATTAAATAAACAGAGCGGTTCATAACCTCCAAATTTCATAAGCTCCAAATCTATAACATTCAAGTAATCACTGTTTCACAATGTCCAAGTTTCACAAACTCCAACGTTAAGATACCAAATAAACAGTGCGGTTCATAATGTCCAAATTTCATAACCTCCAACGGTACAGTCTGGGCCAGAAGTCTCTACAGTGGTTGCCACAGTCAGATAGCAGGCACCGTTCGCCAGCGCTCAACTACTGATTATACGTGCATTTTAATGATTGAAGAACACTCAGCTGTGTGACTCAAATATGTGTTAGCACACAATGTGCAAATCAAATTTACATTTTTATATTTTTAATAGCTTTAATTCACTGAGTTTCTTAACTGTTCCGTCTCTCAATTAAAAAGCCACTACAAATATCGTAAGAGATTTTTTTTTACCGATGAAAAATTTTAAAACATATAAATATATTTTATAAGTATATTTTCTAATAGCTGTTAAAATTTCATGATGATTACATCAGTAGTTTTTTTGTTATGGCACGGCAACCTCTGCAGCGACTTCTGGCAGAGACTGTACCGTTGGAGCTTATGAAACTTGGAGGTTATAAACCGCTTTGTTTATTTGATATTTAAACGTTGGAGTTTGTGAAATTTGGACATTGTGAATCGGTGATTATTTGAAAGTTATAGTTTTGGAGTTTATGAAATTTGGAGGTTATGAAACGCACTGTTTATTTAATATATTAACGTTGGAGTTTGTGAAATTTGGACATTGTGAAACTGTGCTTATTTGAAAGTTATAGTTTTGGAGTTTATGAAGTTTGGAGGTTATGAAACGCACTGTTTATTTAATATTTTAGACGTTGGAGTTTGTGAAATTTGGACATTATGAACCTCACCCCTTTCTCCCATTACCTTGTCAACAACATTTATCATAACAAAAGTTGCATTAACTTTTGAACAGTAATTTTTACAGGAATGAAGGGACGCACTATTTTGTTTGGAATTATAAGGACCATAACGGACAAATTTAAATCAGAATCGGGTTAAAAAAATCCATTTTCCTTTTTTAATGGTTTTTTATAAGAAAATAATATACATAAGTTTCAATAACTTTTGAACCGTAATTTTTACAGCAGGGTAGCATTATGTTGTTTGGAATTATAAGGATTATAACATACTAATTTCAATCAAAACCGGATTTTTTAAATATGATTTTCTCTTATTTTATGGGATAATGACATAATTTACAATAACTTTTGGACTGTAATTTTTAAAATAATGGGACTTCTACCATTTTGTTTAGAATTTAAAAGGCTACAACATACTAAATTTTGATCAAAATCGTTCGGGCCATGAGGAAATTATAAAATTAATTTGAAGAAACATTAAAAATCAAAATTTCAAAAAAATGAAAAAAAAACGCCTGAAGATACCATGGATTTTGTACCTACAAACCGAATTTCATCAAAATCGGACCACAGGTGTAGTCTGTAGACACACTCACACACACAGACATCACTTAGAAAACCTCTTTTTTTAGGTCCAAGGGGACCCAAAACAGATATATCCACTCAAGACTCAAACTCGAAAAAATTTTTGACAAAAACAATACTTTCTCCATATACTATATGTATAGGGGTAGGAAGTAAAAAACAAAATGGCGCATACTCTTATCTCACTAACGAGGCATTTTTGTAAACAATATTACTCTTGGTTTTTGTTTTAATTTGACCCATTAAACCTGTTTCATTTTTTCCTTACCGGATACACTGTATATTTATAAAATCAGTCTTAATGGCAAGAATGTTAAGAGGGTTCCACCCGCCGGCTGGTTACCGCGTAAACATCCTACAAAAATAACCTCGTGGCATTATTAAAGTGTCTATCGAGTTGAAATAAACTGTAAAATATTCACAAATATCCAAACTATGCACTGGATGAACTGAAACTTCCTAACTGTTTTTTAAGTACATATTTACAAAATCATTTTGAAAATCCGTAAATTAGTTTTTCCCCATCCATTGCAAGCTCTGATATGTTAATAGCACAAAAAGCACACAATCGTTGGAAAAAGTTAGTTTTAGAATGTTAAGAGCTTGTACAATAGAGATATGTTCAACTTCAAACTATATTTCAATCCATATAATCCTCCATCTTGAATTGAACTTCAGGCTACCGGGTAGAACCAAGGCCCCACTAGAAAACCAGGCCATGCTGCAGGATCCATGACGTCACACTAGTGGATAGATTTGTTGATAGATTCACAGCAATATCCCATATGTTTTAGGTAAGGAATCTGGCTGATTGTCAGATTTTAATAGTAAGATTTCACAACTATCCACCACTGTGACGTAGTGTTGCGCTGCAGCAAGCAGCAAGGCCTGTTTTTATAGTGGTGTTTTGGTAGAATCCACCTGATCTTAGTCAGTACAAAGGCTACGCAGATCATCTCACTCTATCCTAAATTCATGTTCATCATAAAATACACTCTCAAATATGTGTTGTCAGAATTCATATATAATTAATTCAGAGTTCATTTTCCTACTACTGGATATTGATGATTAGTAAAATAGTAGAATAGTAAAATAAACTGTTACCTTGTTCAATATCCTTTTTAATGATATTGAAAAGGATATTGAACAAGGTAACAGTTTATTTTATTACATATATAATTTAATCATTTCAAATCACCCCTTTTACCTAGGTCCCAGAAACCTAGAAAATAGAAATATAATTTAGAAAATTTCCTTAACACAGTTTTCTATCTCATTCTTATAATTACATTACAAAATAAAATTTAAATATTTCAAATTTTTAATACCTTGAAACCAAACATCTTCATGAATAGTTGAGTATGATGTTATTTTATATATCTACATGAACGTTAGGAGAAAGGTAAAGAGTACTGAGCCTTCAGGCATAACAAATTATCCTAACAACAATAATCACAGGATTACAACAGGTTTCGTAATCACTCTATTTTGGTTAGTCACTTTAAGGTATTTTTAAAATCTCTGATCCTCATACAAATACAATGTCAGAAGAGAAAATGAGTTTTGAATTCAGTTAACATCTGTAAACTGAAAGGAATATTGGATTTTTTTTGTCTTTGCATTCATTGGTTTTTTTTAAACTATGTACTCTATTCACAAAAAATACTATAAAAACTCCTTTAAGACATTAAATTTTGTTTAAATTATTGATTGAACAAGATATTGGGTTATTTTTCATAGAATCGCTAGGTGTAATAGAGATTCCTGATTTACAATAAGTATATGGTCTCCTCTATAATAAAACAGTAATCAAGTTATTTAGAATGTGTTTTTTGTAACTATCAAAAAATGAGTTTAATTAGCAATGAAATTAAACATTCAAAACAATTATTTAAAATACTACTTTAAGGAAATATCAAGTTTGAGGTCATTGCCCTGTTTACACTATAAGTATTTTTATTGTATCTTTGTTCTGATGTCAGAACCATATAAATGCGAGAAAGAATATCGACACTAGAAATTGATGTTGTTTACCATACAAACAAATATAGTTATCAAGTTGAATAAATTCTTGCCTTGCCATCTCTTAATTAATATTTACTTACACTACAATCCATGATTAAATTTCTCATCCCTGTTGTTTTATAATTATAACATATTGTGTACATAATAAATTGGTTTCAAAAACAAATTGTGTACAGTGTTTATTTTATATGTCAACGTGTTGTTTATTTCATATTTCTGGGCACTCTTGGTTAATTGGATTTATATTAGATTGATAAAAAAACCCCCAGCATAGTATTCTTTTACTTTCTCTTGCTATACACAGTACATGGATAAAGTATTGTTTTTGGGTATATGGGTTTTGGGTCTCCCTGAACCCAAAAAGTGGTTTTCCAAGTGATTTCTGTGTGTGTGCCTGTATGTGTGGTTCCGGGTTGCCACTCGTCCCGATTCTGCTGGGACAGTCCCGATTTTGGTTCCTTATGCCCGTATTAAAGCCTATGCTAATCCAGGAGGGAGGGGGGCAATGTCCCGATTTTTCCTGACCTAAGGTGTTAACCTGGTGTGGATGTATACAGAACAACAGACCACGTTTGTGGGCCGATTTCTATGAAATTTTATAGGGCTACTAATCTATGATAAAATCTATATTTGTATATATTTGTATATTTGTATCTATGACAAAAAGAATTAAATATAGAGCTTCAGCTGTGCTGCGGTAACCGTAGGTTCTGGCGCATACAGCTAGGAGCACCATGTATTTAGGGCATACACGCTATTAACTATCAGAAAAATTGATATTAAAAAAAAAAGCTCGATCAATTTTGAATAAAATTTAGTAGGTTGTAGTCCTTTTAACTCTAAACAAACGTTACAACCTCCATTGCTGTAAAAGTTAGGGGTCAAAAGTCATTGCAACTTGTGTGATTTTTCCATTAAAACCAATAAAATAATGGAAAATAGGATTTTAAAAGAATGTCTCGACCAATTTAGATTAAAACTTAGCATGTTATATTCCTTTAAACTCTAAACAAAATGGTACAGCTCCAATTGCCATAAAAGTTGTTGACAAGCTAATGGGAGAAAGTACCTATATGTCAGATTGCTGATATCGTCTATTTTTGGTAAAGATGGCTTTAAAATCTTAAGCCATCCATCAGCGGTTTTTAGGATTTTGTAGCGGATATGTTTAACAGAAGCAGAAGGCTTACTTTACTGAAAAAAATGCCTAGACGAAAATGCACACAAAAAAAACGATTAACATGTTGATATTTTTTGCTGTTAAAGTATCTGAACAATATGAAAAAAGACAAGAGTTGTAACTTATGAAATTTATGTGGGAAAGCTGTGCTATCTTCAGGCTGAAACGGGTTTTCAAACTTCAGAAAAAGGCAGTGAGGATTATCTGCAAATTGCGGAGGAGAGACTCATGTAAAAATGCTTTCTAGGTGTTGGGATGGGCGGGCAATACTTGCGCCAACTGATTTGAGTCAGGTAGTCGGGTATTCCTAAATTGTGCCAACTACTACTACAGAGAGCCACCTCATACGTTCCTTAACCAAGCCAAGTCTTTGTATAGTTGAGTAGGTTAGGTTAGGATAAGTTAGGTTAGGTTAGGTACGTGCATGACACGTAAACGAGCACATCCCTCCGCCGGCAACTCACCCCTACTAATTATCCAAAGTAATTTAATTAATTTCTCCATAAATTTAACAAAGTTTTAATTTGGCTTGGGTTTGGCACAACTAAGGAACATTTTTTGGGACCCTTTGAGGGCTTGGTGTAATTAATGCACGGGCGTTGAGATTGCTCACTGTACCCTGTCTCTACATCTTGGATGTGGCCATGTACTGTAAATATGAATGCTCACTAGTGCAGGGCCGAAATGTCCATGATTATGAGACTATGGACAGGGACAATTACCAGACTCTGCAGCATAGAAGTGTGGTGTTCAAGTCTTTTTTCCATCGCAAATTGGTATCACAATCCTCAACAAACTTCCTGCCAGCATCAAACATGCCGAAACAAAAAACCAATTCAAATCTCGGCTAAAACGCCTTTCGATGTCCAATGTGCTGTACTCTATTGACGATTTCATGATCAACCGCTAGGATTCTAAACTCTAGGAAAAACCGCAAAATGATTCAGGCACTAGTGTAAAAAAACTGTTGATTTTTTAGAAATACTTTCAAACTGAGAAAATGTAAACAATAAATTGTATAATTTTTCACATAAATTATGCTATCTGATGTTTGTAATTCAATATATTTTGTTGACTACAATAAACAAATTATTATTAAGATTTAAATGAATTATGAACATTTTTAAGGTAATGAAGGTGTCAAGTTAAGTATGTTTTCGTTTTAATTGCCTATTTTAATTCATCAGTTTAAGCCAGTCAAGAATAATTTTGTAATTTTGATTCAGTAACCAATGTTAATGTTCTATTCAAGTTTCAGTTTAATTCAATTTCAATATTCAAAACAAGTAAGATCTTATTACATACCATCTTATTATATAAATATCACGTCAGTTATAAATTTTATTTCTAAAAGTAGAACAAACCAAACGTTAACGATGAACAAAATTTAAAATGTAGCTTTCACTATTAGATAAACAATGCAGGAAAGAGCCTTTGTATAACACCAGTTCTTCAAATAAAGCCTAAACATTTACAGCTGAGTAAATATTAGCATTGTTAGGCTATCAAATTACAGGTACCTCCTGTAGTTATTTGAATTCTCTCACAATATTTTGTTCTACAGTAATGAAAAGGTAAATTGAGTATTTTGGTACCTACTAGGCCTATGTATGTGAGCTCACCTTATTTTGTAGAGGATTTGCCTATTGTCAGCATCTTACATTGGAGAAATGTATTTACTGGAAGTTATAACTATGATTTGGTATACAGTTGTCCATTAATACTTATGTAGATTTGTTAAAGACGATAAACGAGAATTACATAACAAAATCACAATTTAATTAAATTGTATAAACAAACAACACAACAATACTCACTCTTTTTGCCTTCGCCAGCTGGAAATAAGGCAGGAGTCTCGCTTGCAGTTCATACTGTTGGCGGTAATACAGCGACAACGGAAGTGACCATGCGACTGTCTGTTGAGCGCTCATCTCTGGCAGAGGAGAAGAATCTACTTCCGGTGTAGTCGGAGTGGAGTGCACCGGTAACATCAGTACATAACTACAACACAACAGATAAGAGATAACAGCTCCGATACGCACGGTTCGACGGCTCGCCACTCACTAAATGATATTTTCTAGTCTAGCCCTCTTTAGGGAGGGATCGCAAACAAGGGAGTGGTGGAGGGGCGCGTTTATTTATTTAAATATGAGTTGTTTGGCTCTCCCATCCGTCTAGAGCAAACACGCTGCGAGAACACATGTTTTGATTGCTTTTTGTTTACTGTTTATTTGTTTGCGCTGACGTGGCCGCGATAACGCCGACGGGGGAAGGAAACGACCGAAAGCAAACTTAAATAATTGTGTCTAATTGTTTCTTTATTGATTCCCTCTTTTATTCAAACGAGAAGCCAGTTTTGTTTAATTTGCCCGGTCGATGGTCTACAATTATAGTCTTGATAGCGGGTGAATTCTTAATGCGGATGTCGAAACGAAAACCTGAATAAACAAAGTTGCCTGAAGAGTGGAACAGTAAACAAAAAGTTTCCTGGCGAAATGTAACTGATTATTAGGTCGATTGTTAACCGGAAGTTTTTGTAGAATGTCACAAAATGTCTTCACACAGTTTAGTTTAAAACAGTATCTCAATGATTGATAATTGATAACAATAATTGATACCTTTTACGTATTCTATTCATTTTGCTGAACCCATCGTCTCCATTACACAGATATTAACTGCAATAGAATAGGTAATTTAAAATATGCACAGTGACAGCGACACATCTTGATTATATCTTCTACACAAATTCCTACGGAAATAGTACGATATGCGCAACTCACCACGCGCAGGCCTTGCTTATGTGGTAGACCTTGTTGTTTTCGTTATTGCTTTGTTTATCAGTCGAGTAATTATTTTATGTTCCAAAGAATTGTTTATTTCAGCTCTAAACATAAATATACCATGGAATCTACGTCTTAAAATTGGAAAGAAAATTAAAATGCGCTTAATTTAATTTTTCATTTAAAGTAAAAAATCGACGTCCAGACAGAGACGGAGCATGTTGTTTAATTAAACATGGCTTGAATATCGATACAGTTCGAATATAATTTTATACGATAATGTAGACCATTTCAGCACTTAATTCTCTAAAAACGGTCGGCCTAAACATTCTCCATACTTCCAACATTAATAGCATTTTTAGAATGAAAAAGTAAACAAAACAATTGTAAATATTGTCGTTTTCACTCTGCTACCATGGAGATTAATCAATAAATTACTTCTACCAGTGAGAGTTTGGATATTATGAGTAAATAACGATAGCTGAGTAAGCAAATGGTCTGTTCACTTGGTAGTCAGAAGGTCCTCGATACGATCACGAGGAAAGTGAGTAGTTTTTAGATAGTTCAAATCTGAATGAAGCTATTCATAGATAACACACACATGGTTTGGTCCATGATTAAACTATTGTAGAAAAGACATTTGAACCAACTGAGTGGTAGGGTGAAATTAATTACGTTTGGAAATGTAAACTAAGAATGTAAACATTGTGATATTTGTTATTGTTGCCATGGAAACTAGACAGAAAGTACTTCTCACAGACAGCGCTGCATTGCATTGCAACTTTGATGGTCTAGGGTTGATATTTACGTCAAAATTTAGAAAAGTTAATATGCCTAAGACATACCTAAATGACTACAACTTTTTGCTATTATTCTACTGCTACAGTGATTTCGCATGATATAATAACAGACAGAATAACCTCATCATGCCAATATTGCAGACTTAATTACAAACAAATGTTACTGTAACCTTTCAGTTTTTGCTTATACAACTATTAAACTTTAATTATTTTACATTGATAAAACGCGTACACTGTTCTAGTTTTAGGTTGATATGGATCAATGTTTAACCTGTTTTCAACAAACAGCTAGTGTAATGGAAGTCCAAAGTAATTAATTTAGATAATGGAAGCGTCAAATATTATTTTCCAAAAATATCATATGTATTTATCAACATGCCTCATTCAATTTTCCTTGCATATAACACAAGTCTGGTTTTATGCGATTACTATTTAATCCTGAAAACTGTCAATTAAGTATCTTTTCGTTTGAATTTGCCATTTTTATTGGTCGGCTGAGCTATAGATTAAACAAACCGCTTTTGGCATGATAATTCTTAAACAGATCAACCGATAATTGTAAATCATGATCCTGCCCGGTTGATATAGAAAGTAAAAGGCTTTTTGTAGTTTATTTTGTTTGTCTTTTAATCAACGTTAAGACTATTTGAAATAAAAAACAATAAAATATTTAAACACTAACGCTTGTCCTCTGTAATCATAAATCAAGATCAAAGAACGTGTTTTACATCTGACTTAAAATAAGATACAAGTTTTGACGACATCAAGTAACTCAGTTACCTAATTTGAAACTTGCTTCAGTTTTTGCAAAGCACAATTAACTACACTATACAAAACCAATGGCTGATAAAAATATAGGCATTCTTATGTGTAATGAGTATTTGACAATCTATATACTTAATACAATAAGGAGGCTCTGCACCATCCCATTTTCAGCAGTCCTACTTAACCGATTTTCACGATTGAGGTGTCATTTTTAAGCTATGATCTGGTGCAGCTGCGAATAGTAACGTAAAAGACGATTGTGCATAGCCTTCTTGCATTTCAATCATTTCTTAAACTTTCAAAGATCCAGTGTTGCTGACCAACTTTCTTTATAACGGTTTATACGAATTGTAATCCAACAGCTGATCCTTCAGTTGAATGGTTAACCACGGTCTGGGGCCCATTTCATAATAAACTACAAGTTACAAGTTACAACTTGTAACTTGTAATTTCCATAAGATTTGCATTGGGCGATCAGCTGATTTACTAATAATATTAGTTTGTATTTTATTATGAAATGGGCCCCAGGTTGTAGACAAGAGACTAAAGAGTTTATGAACATGTATTTTATATAGGCTACTTTTTTGACAACTGACCTGATTGAGGTAAGTAAATCATCCATTAGCTATAAAATCAACAAATTTACCGTAAATTAGTAGTTATGTATTAATCTTGTAGCTGTTCTAAACAAACATAATGTTGTAAAGTTAAATGGGTATTGCACTGGATTCATTTTCCCTCGGAAACAAGTTTTGGAGGTCCTAATAAACTGGGCAGTTTGCGCACCACCCCCTATTTGCTATTTATTTCTTATTATTTCACCAGATGAAAAGCTAATTCAATCAAACGAATCGATACTTATTGTTTTGCCTTTACTTTATCTTGCTTTGTAACCAAAAGGAAAATGCTACGCCGGAACTTTTTTACTAATTAGGGGGGAGTAATATTGCAAATCCACATACTCCCACAACCGGACATGAAAAACTACAGATTTTACAATGGGACGAGAAACCTACTTGCAGTATCCAAAGTCAATGGTTTAATCTCATGACGTAAGCATATTACGTGTGAAGTAACATTGGACCAAACAATACAAAGTGTTTAATTTTTACATTTGTGTATAGGTGCTGGTTGTTCGCTGTGAACAAGTAAGCCAAACAATCCTATTTACACTTTGCTACGCCGGATTTAAAATAGCAGATATGATAAACATTGGAGCCGGAACGTTAATATTTATTCTTGTGAGGTTTGTCTGTTCATCAGAGAATGTTGTGTTCAAAGAGTTCTAGTATTTTTCAACAGTTTATTTATTTTGTGTTGTTGTAGCCATAAATCTTAGTATCACCACAGAGAAAATATCTATAGATTCGTTTCTGTGGTATTACCATTGATTTTGTGTACTAAAGTAGACATTTCATCTTTATAGAATATCTGTGGAGTATTTGATGCAAGAGAACATGTTTAAACGATCACCTCATAGAGAGTTCTTAAAGTCATATGAAAGTTGGATTTATGTCTTACATAGCAAGAAAAGGAATAGTTTTGTTTAGGTTGCCTCTTTGGTATTTTGAATGAAATTGGTAATTTACAGTACATTTGATTAAACTAAGTCCTGATACGATCAAAGTTTATTTCAATATCACTGTATCAGGTAAAGGAAGTTTTACGGAATGATTCCATCGGAGTTTGTTTTTACTATTTCTTCATTGCTATTTTACCAATTTTTATTCTGGAGTTTACTCTAAAACGGGCTGTAAATTTAACTTGAGAATGGAATTTGTATTAATCGGTTGTGTATCTACAGTAAAATGTGTGGGATATCTTGTTGAGTTTTTAAGATAGCTAGACCTTCAATCTTGCCAATAATGCACAAAATATACAATCACATAAAACTACATCGAGGAACCATAAAAAACTGTAGTAGTAGTACCTAATTGAAAAGGAGTGCAAATACCATTACCATAGTAGTATGTTTTCTGTGCCATTACCCTGCCGGAACAGCGGTGTTGCTAGTGTGTCTCGCCGTGTTATTATATACTGTATATCTTATCTATGGTCTCGCCGCGGCATTGTATCAGAGAATGCTGTGGCTGTGATTATATCCAATCAGCTATCAGAATACAGAACAATCCTGAATGGAAGTTAAGACGAGATACCAGTGTAGGCCTACCTAAACCAAACCTCGAAATCATAAACCTAAATACGCTAATGATAATGCGCAGCAATTAAATGTTCACAACTAAATACGGTACATTATCAGACATAGTTTTCAAGTGAACTGGATGACATATGGTTCCACAACTTGTTTGTAGCAGATGTGGCTGCAGTCACTTGTTTAAACTTCCATTTTTCTCCCCTCTCCGAAAAAAGGTAAACAAATCTTCGTGTAAACAATACTCCCCCCTCCGACCTCACGGTGCTACGCTCAACAACGCGATTCCGATTAGAATTTTCAAATATTTTCATCGATTTATTATCGACCAATAAAATGTTGCTTTAATCTGTGATATGTTTTCCGCCTTCACATATGGATGAGATACAGTACTAACTATTTTGATTTCCATGGACATAAAATTCGTTCTGCAAAATAAATAAAATTGCTCAATAAATCCATACATATATGAAAATAATTAAAAATTATTGGGTTTATTATTCTTTGACAGACAAATTCAAAAACCATGCTTGCCACAGAATTATTTTTTACTAG